AAGAGAAGTACTGTAAAATAACTCCTGTGAGCTACAGATTTCCGTTAGCTTGTGTCCCTCCCCCACAAAGCTTACCTTGAAGTATGTTTTGCCATCCTTCACCCAGCCGATAACAATATCAGCTCCTTGCATCTTGCCCTGACCTGTGGAAATTCCAAAGCCGACCCATCCAGTTGTTTGGGCTTCCACTGTAAAAGAAATCTCTTTCTTTGCAGTGTCGACATTCCAATACAGCTTCACTTTCTGGCTCTCATCCAAAGCAGCAAAGAAGGAATGTCCTGATGTAAGATCAATGATGGACGACTTCGCTAAACATACGAAGATCAGCAAACAGCAGGCCGATACCTTCGTGACCTTCTGCGTCTGACAAAAAGTTGACATTGTGGCAAATTTCTACAAATGTAGCTTCAACAAGTGCCCGCAAAATCAGACAACAAAAAATTGGTTTGAATGCTGGCCGAATATTGCTCACAGTAACACTTCCAGTGCTTAGTACGGAGAGGATTAAGAGCTCTCCGCTCTTTCTGACACTAATCTAATGAACAAGCATTAATTAAGTGAACAATGTGACGCGTTACGTCGAGGTTATAAATACTTTCACACAACAGGCGCTTCAAACAACCTTCCTATGTGAATACTGAGAAGCGTCGAAGCTATCCAAGAGTTAAAAGTCAAAAGTCGATTAGTCAAAGGGATCAATTCATTTTTTTTTTTTTAAAGCACAGGATCTGCAAAGCATTGTCGTACACGAGTTACTGACTATTGATTACAACACCACAATTAATCATGTGACTTTAGGGCAAGATTTCCGCATAGCCTCATACTCATTATAATAAAAGTTTTTAGATAAAGAAAACAATGGCTAGAACAATTGCGTTTTAGACTGCAGCTTTGTTTTAGGATAGTAGGGAATTGTACGGAAATCTTTCCCAAAAGAGTATCAATAAAGGTGAGGCATGAAATCTGAATTACACGTCTAATAGTTCTTAAACGGAAAATTTGACTTCAGATGTGTGCAAAGATAGACAAATAACGAAAAACGTATCATCATTTACACCAAATATAATTTGATTATACGGCAACAAATTCATCAACGATTATGCAATGCAAACCAATTAGTAATGCCTTAAAATAAAGAAGTGCTGTCATCCTGTGATATTAATTGGCTCGAAGAGTACTCTCACTTGCACGTAACAATGACGAGCTCGCACGTGTTTTAAGAACCAACCATTTTGGTGCGGATTTGCTTGAACCTGCGTGTGCATGTGATGAACGAGCGAGAGGAATGACTCGCCCTTCGCGGATGCCTCACTTTTACCTCCGCTTCCCTGAAAAACGCAAAATTTCAAAATTTACACATATTTTGTGGGCTACTTTAATAATCATACAGTCAAGCGTGGTATCATCTGCTATGATATTATCTAATGTTTCTGACTATGCTAAAATCGTTCAAGAATGTAAACAATTGGTCTGACTAGTTACATAAATAAAAGTTTTTGTTCTGTGCCAACTGAATGATCTGACTGAACAGCTCAAGGTGTGATGGACCGGAAGATAAATGTAAGGCTTTTCTTAGACCTGGTGCCCTTTGCAGCCAGTGTTCAATCTCGTTACGTAACGCATTTTCCGTCTCCTAGGTCACTAATCCCTCCGCTGATATAACTTCCTACTTTCATAGGCAATGCGTTTAAAAAGATACTTGAAGGTATAAAGTCATTAGTAGTGCATGAACACACATGTGGATCGCGACGTTCAAGAATGTTGTCAATTTTCTGCCAGTGAATTCGCAAGATCAGCAAACTTTAGCGAGACGGTCGCACATGCCTCCCGGTGAGAGGCTGATAAAGGAAGGGTTTTTTGAAAGTCAAATTCAAAAGATCAAAACGATCAACCTTATCATACCTAGCATAGAAAAGGTCTTAATATTTTCATTCATCGTAGTAGAAATTACTCAAAAGTTGTATTTAGAAAGCGAAAAAAGAGTTAGTTCGTAGCCAACCGCTGATCGATTCATACATTTATTCGAAATACCTCGCGTGCCAGCGCATGAACAGATGTCAGTCGTTGCGTTCGATAAGTTAGTAGAGTGGAGCGAATAAGATACAAACAAAAAATCTGTTGTGTATTCTTGTGACCTTTACAATGCTACTCTTCCAATTGTTAACATGGAAAATATACTTTACTAGTTTAGATACGAAACGACTCAACTGACTGGGCACGAAACGATTCAACTTACTAGGTATGAAACGACACAACTGAGTGGGTACGAAATCACTCAACTGACTGGGTACGAAACGATTCAACTTACAAGGTATGAAACGACACAGCTGACTGGGTACGAAACCACTCAACCGACTGGGTACAAAACTAACGACTCAACTCACTGACTACGAAATGACCGGTAACCGAAATAAGATACTGTTCGATGCTGGATTTTGACCTGCTCGTGAATGCGATGTAATCTCGGCACACTTTATTACCTCTCGCTTCAAAGGCGAATTCTAAAAATGTTTAACACACGAAATAGTCGCTTCCGACCTAGTTTTTGACGTTCCAAATTGTTCATCTATTAAAATCGCAAGATTATTAATTACTCATGAACAAAAGGGGTCAGTTTCTAAAGAAAAAGAAAGTAAAGAGTTTTAAATGCTAACGTTTCGAGTGTTAGCCCTTCGTCAGTCGCTCTGACGAAGGGCTAACGATCGAAACGTTAGCTTTTAAAACTCTTTACGGTGGCCAATCTACGTTATCACCTCAGTTGATAATACTAAATTGCCCTAGTAATTGCTCACTCTGTTCTCTTAGGGGTCTAACAATCAGTGACTTCTGCGAAATTTAGTAAACCTGCATTCACCAGTCAACCCCCGTCAGATAAGCTCTCTCTAGCGAGGGGGTCCCGCAGGCTTCATAGTGCTATGATGATGAAGAAAGGGGGTTTGAGGGTAAAATTCAGAGTCTTTCAAACGATCGACCTAAATATTAGCTCCGACATGGAGAGAATCTCAACATATTTATTCGTTGTGGAAGAAAATTTCTAAAACGTTGTTCCTAGAAAGCGACAACAGGTTGTATGAATTATGTGGAAGCCCAAATAGTGCAAGTTTATAAAACAAAAGAAAGAGAACTTGCGACCAAAAAGAGGACAGAGTGCAATGGTGGATGTTGACCTGCTCGTGAATTCGATATAATCTCGGCACACTTCACAACCTCTCGCTTCAAAGGCGAACTGATGACTGTCTTTTTCTGTAAAGTGTGCCTCAGACCTTGCAAAACAATGTTATCAGTTGAAATAACCCAACGCCAAGATACCTGCCGTTTGTCTTATTCACACTAGGGAATCGAATTAACATCAGGCATCCCGGCGTTTCTTGAGGCCATCGTCCATAATACTCTGGTTGGTATACTAATATTTCAAAAAGCAAAGTTTTTGCCGAAAAAAGCTGAAGAATTCGCTTCATATTTTCATTCTTTGCTTATTCATTTGCTTGAAATTCGATCGGTTGCTTTAAGCCGGTCTTGCGTCCTGAAATTTTTCGGAGTGTTCCAGTTTCCCTGAGTGCATGAGAGAAGCAAGCAATCTAAGCCACGAACAAAAAAGCAAATATGTGTGCGAGTGCGATTTGTGAATATGTTGCACTACTGAGAGCCAACCAGATTGTAGAGGTCACTTATGTGTAAAATGTTGGAAACTATGCAGCACCTCTGTGTGCGACGGCAGGTTCCGTATTGTTTTGTGCTTTTATCCCTCGCATCAGATGGCAATCTTAATATTATCATGAAATACTCACCGACAAAGGAATACTGTTATGGCCGCTACAGTAGACGTAAATGTCTTGAGTGTCTTGATAACTATCCCATAGTTCAGAAGCCAACTCTTCAGTCCAATCATTTGGATTTGGTGGAACTTGTCTAATAATTAGTAGAATGGTGAAATTGGAAGATTTGTATTCGCTATACGTTATCAACCAGCTAGGTAAGCAGCTAAATAAATAGGTCGGTAGATCCGCGGGCAGGTGGATAGGGAAGAAACGGAACCAGGAAGGCAAGAACTGAGTTGAGCTGAAAAGATGGAGGACAGGATGCAAGAACAGATGGCGGACGGAATGAAACAAGCAATCAATCCTTCAAGAAGTTGTAGTGTGATATCTGGTGAGACTCCTTTCCCACTCAGTCGCTTCTCTCGTAGCCAGTTTTGATGGACTCTTGAAACCACAGGCGGCCCAAGCTCCAGTTGTGAGATGATCTTTCTTGCGAAATAAGAGTCATATCGAAATTATAAGAGTTTGTATGGGAATATTTACGACTGCCCTTAGGAATACAAAAATACAGTCAATTTCTCAAGAAAAGTACCTCACCTTACTTCCACAGTGTATCGCTTGTTGTCTGACAGCTTACTATGTTAAAAAGAACCCATTTTAGCGAGTTATCCATTTCTAAGTTTACTACATAAGAGAAGCCCAAGGCTGCACAATCAAAAAATCTAAGCTCAAAACAACTGGGCGTATCCAACACAGAATCCAAGCACATATACCGTAGTTTCATTTCAGTTCACTACAAACTCAATCTTCCCCTTGAAACCGACGCTAAGCCGCAGTTTGCTTCAAAAATTTCCAGTTTAGACGTTTCTCACAGTCCGCGTTCACAGTGAAAACCAGCTTGGTAACCCTGCCTCCTTTGCAAACTGTACCTCGCCTGGAACCACACCTTCACTGGCATCAGTAAATTGTTTTAGAATCACGGGTGCTAAGTGACAGTGTGGTCCCCGAGATACAAACAATTATAATTTCGACATGACTGTTATTTCGCAAGATGATCATCTCACAGCTGGAGCTTGAAGGGGTATAAGGGAGAACCAAGGATGGATAAAATACTTATACAGATGATGAGCAGAAATACCTCTTGATCTTTGAGTCGTACCACAATTTGTCATTCCGGGGCTCAAATCTCTGTGCACTTGTTTCTCTCGACTTCGCTTTTAAAGTCATTTGTAATAAACAAACTCACCCACCGTGGTTACTGTAGAACTTATCGACAGCTGGCTTCTGGCTAGACCAGCACTGGGTTAAATTTGCTTTTGGGTAGTAATAATGGAACCATAGGCACATTTCATCATCTGTAGCCGGACCACCCTAAAACAGGAGATAAAAAGATAGATATCCATTTTAATCAGTAGATTCCATAAACATTCCAACAGGATCAACTCGAGACCAAACGAGTCAGCTCGCCATGCAGATTTGATGATTAAATCACCCAATCATTTTTGACAAAATGCTTTCTCTTTTACAACCCTCAACAAGTTAAATAAGGTTCTACGTAACCGAAAAAGATTAACACATTTATAAGCACTGATTGCAAGTTATCAACGTACCAATTTTTGTTTATTTTCTGTTTGATACTTGCAGACTGTTATCAGCGAGTCTCCCTGAAAAACAAATACTAATATATATATATATATATACACATATTTAAGAGATTACAATCTCTTGACATATTTAATCATATGGTCTGATCGTCTGGGTGAGAGTGTAGTCCTGAGAAGGACTGTGGTCGGTAGTGGTGACTCACATTTCAACAACATGAGCAGAAGTCATCATCACAGAGTCAAGTAAATAGTTGTTGTCAGTCGAATGTACTAAGTGCACATTCGACTCTTCACAAAAAGACAATTAACTTGACATGCATCTCATCACGAGCCTTTCCTTTTTTTTTTTTTTTTTCTTACCGGCAAAACTGTCACCTCCTGTCTTGGAACCTGAACTTCCTATGGTTAAAAACATAAAAACAAACCAAGAAAATCTGTTAAAACACGGAAAGTCGAGGGATTAAGGAATGAGTACTCAAACAGAGGTTGAAAGGCGCTTATGGTTACTTTTTGATCTGTTGAGGCATCTCTAGATAGCCCCTGGTATACCGATGTCTTACTTTATACAATAGAAACTCACCTGAAAGTTGAAATCGTAGTTGTCGTCTCTGATAATCTCTGGAAGTTCGACACCATTCCTGACATGTCTGGTGTATATGGCGCGACCTACGAAAAGGAAGGAATGGGCTCGGGAAATGTAACAACTTTAAAATATTTTGTTACATTCTTCGATGAAGTAAAAGCCAATCTGATTTAGAATTTTACCGGCTTAATGCATATGGACTATGGATGCAAATATTCGGATTGCTCCGCTCTGCAAAGGTGATCCTTGCAAACCCTGTGACAATGAATTCCAGGAATGTGGCTCCTACATCATCCACAGCGATAAGTATTTTTACGCCAATCAAATGTTCCTATCTGGGTTCTCATCGGCTCCTTTCGGAACTGATAATAACTGCTGGATTTAGCATGTTTATTTTGGTATCTTGAGACTTGGGAGGAACCCAAAATGAAACTTCAGTGGTCTTCGTGTGTTCATTTTTTGCCATCTGTCGACAATCCACAGATGGCAAAGAAATTCCCCAACTCAGAACAGAAATGGGACTGGTAAAGGTAACGACTACCTGAGGTACTTAGAAAGCTTCAAATTTCCTTCAAATGCACTGATCATGACATGCTCGCCGATGAAATATTGAATGAGAAAAGGGTACTTTAATTCACCTCTTCTGTGCATTCTTTGATGCAATAACCCTCCGTCGTCCAGTTTGCTTGGTCGGGTGGTATTATCATTAATGGGTCTACAGCCCACCCAACAGACAAAATACCAGCTTGGTACTGTCTGAGTTGACTTGTGTAATGAAATCGTAGACCAGAGCTGTCTATAATGCCTGAAACGAAAAGATCATGGGAGTAAGTTAGCTGCATTGATCAGGAATAGTAACAGAAACCAAAGAAAAACACTACTATTGTTTGGTTTTTATTAACATGTTACCTGCTTTATTTTCAGGATTATCGTAATGCATTTCCATAACTGCAAATTTCGGATGACCTTCGAAGGAGAGTCCCACATGTTCGGGATAATAAAATGACTGATAGTAAGAAACGAAACGTGATAGATTAGTTAAAGAGTGTCATTACAATATTTCAAATTTTGCGCAGTGGAAGGCTGCCTTTAGTATGAAGGTACGCGGAGCTATGTTCTGGGTTGGTGGAGACGAACAAAGGAGCTGGCTAGAGAAATATAGCAGGGCTTTCCTCTGCTCTCGCCACATTTTTTCCCTCGTCCTCACAAACTGACTGCCTTAAACAAGCTAACTTAAGGAAACAAAAAATAACATTTGGTCAATGTGATAGAGAAACACAGAAGATCAAACCATAAACAGAAATAATGAAGAAATGTAAAATGGTTTCCGTGTTTACATAGCCTGATGTAAACACGCGGGAGGTTGGGAGAACACGAGATAAGCGTAGGAAACCACGACGCGAAGCGGAGTGGTTTCCAACTTATCGAGGATGTTTAAGGATGAAGAAGGTTGAAACGGATTGCGAATGACGACCTCAATAAAATTTAAGTCAATGCCAGGCTCTCGCGGTCGGTAAAGACGAAGGAATGAGTTAGTTGTTGGTTGGGAAAATCGACGAAACTGTAGAAAATCTCTCTCTTTCTTAAATTTCAAATCACAAATTTTCTCCTCCTCTCCCCCGTTTGTATTCTTTTTGAAGTCACGCGCGGCGCGCGTGATTTCACTATTTAGCTAATCATGTCAAAGAACTCTTACACCGGAAAACTGACATAGACATTTTTCGCCTAGTTTTGTTGTTTGTTGTCACGGAGTTCAGTTGGTTTTTTTTTTTCGGCTTTCGTTCGCGCAAATTTGTTACCCCTTTGTTTTAAGTTTTACGAAGTTTTGAAGTTTTTATTTTAGCCAAATGTTGTGGTTCCTTTAACAAGTTTAATTTATATTTTCTACGGAGTTTAGACTCTAGCCTCTTTTTTCATAAATGAATTTTTTACTGGAACTCTCGGAGTGTAGAGGAAGACATACATTTGTGTCCCTTTCGTTTTTTCTCTCACTCATACGGCTTTTTCGCTCGTCCCTACAATTGATTGCCCTAAAGTAGGTAATCCAGATTTAGACTTTATTTTTCCACAGACATATTAGACCATAAAGAAAGGGTCGCAAAGGTATCATTATAACATTTGCTAACATACCCACCTGACCTCCAATCGCCCAGGCTGTTATTATCGAGAGTCCAATACATTATAGCACTGGGGGAGGCATGTCTGGAGAATTGATTGTTCCCTCAAAGTCGACGTGAATCTGTGGAAAATTATCTCCGCACTCGTACAGTATCATGTGGTGTACAACCCCCTCGTTTCCTGCTTGAACAATGGGATCGATCTGAAACATAGTAGAGATTTCGATGAAACTTAATTTTTAAACGAAATAATAGGAAGATATAGACCACGTTAGGTGAAACTGTACATTCTTGGAGCCACGGAGTTTGCTCAGTCATTGTTACTAGATAAAATCACCCTCCCGTTGTGAGCTAGGCTATTTTTCAAGTCCTATGAAACAAGCGTCCTGCGTATTGCTAAGATCAGCGACTTCGGAAGTGTTGTGTGTGTAAACAGTGTGAGAAAAAATAGGGAATTTGGACTTCCAGTCCTCTGCAGTTCAGTAAATTCGTGTGTGCATCGGAAGACGAAGTCCAAAGGTCTGAAATTCGTTGCAGGGGACTGAGATATTTTTGCAGGAGACTGAGATCTTTTTTTGTCCTTGTTCGGGGCAAAAGAAATAACATTTTCTTCATCGATGACCATGATGCAAATGTACCATCGTGGCCATTTTAGACCATATCACTAGTTTCGTTTCCATTCGCTTTGTCTTCTTTGGTTGATCGCGAAGCAAATTCTAAAAAGAAGAAGTGAATTTAGAACACATTCTTACCTGAACGATGTCATGTCTTCCTGAGAGGTCCGGAAACTCAAACACCCGATACATGTACGTTGTGCGATTTACCGGTACAGCTGTCTGTAGAGAATAAGAGATACGAGAATTAAGGACAGAGAAAGGATAGAGAAAAACGGAGAAACGGGGTGAGATGATGTATCAATCAATTACTGTTAAAAAAGTTTCTCGAGCTGAGAATAAACACAGAATGTAAGGAAGTGTAAACCGATAAATTGAAGGATACGAACGTCGGGTGTGACAGAACGCGGAATCTTCGACTGTGAGGTTATTTCAGCACCATTATGCTAGCTTACGTGAGGGTAAAGAGACTAGGACGGTGTTCCTTAAGAAGGTGCTTATTGATGGGTCAGAACTGACCGATGCTTTCAAGAAGAGATGTTCTGTAGAAAAAGGAACCATTTTGGGAAAAAATCAGTCAATTCCGCGATTGCCCCACCTTTACCAAATGCGATTTTCATACAGCTTAAAAAAGTTAATTTCTCTGTCGAAATTTTACAGACAAATTATTTTTAAAAAACCCACTGAAAGTTATTCCCAACAGCCAGAGTCTTATGAATGTCTTGTAAATGTTTGTAAAGTTCGCTTAGGTTTAAAAATGAGTTATTTACGAAGCTAAGAAAATACATTTAAAAAGTCAAAACCAAACATTTTCCACACTAGGTCATCATCAGCGTGATAAACTAATGTCGACATACTTTTAAATATATTTTAGCCTCGTGAATAACGACTACACATTATGTTTTCCAGGTATCAATATGATAACTAACTCAAGCACGGAACTGATACGATAGTAAAGACCACACTCGAAATTATATCTCATCCCTCGTCTATTTTTAAGATTAAAACGTTAACTCCGAAACATCTTCCTTTATTGAACGGCTGTAATAAGTAATGGAAAGCACTAGTAATGAACATTAGGCCCATCAGTTTTCTTTCACCACAAATACTATTATCACCTTGTTCATCTTGAAATCGAAGGACTCTGCATCAACAGGTAGTTCGGGTACATTCTCAAAAGTATTAAGTAGAAAAACACTTCTGGCTCCCATCCTATTGATGTCGTGCATTGGAATATCATCCTCAGAGTTAGGATCGTCTGTATGAAATGCATAGATGAGTTTTGTTGTTCCTCCCTGCAAAACCACAGCAAAAGCCGCATTAATAAGAGAAAACTCAAAGGAAATTCTCATCCTCGCGTGAGTGACGTCACCTGACGTAAATCAGAATGAGAGGTTTTCTGGTGACAGTTATTGTGGAGAATCAGGGGATTCATTTGATTCTAACCCAGATTTAATCAAGAAAAATATCCGAGAGGGTAATAGGTACAGCAGCCCCCTTTCGTAGATTTAAGACTACTTTTCCAGGCTTTTAATCATAAAGACAAAGACGCATACCGCGACTCTGATGTCTTCAGAATCGCAAGTTTCAAACTTTCGTTTAAACTTCATTATGGTCTTGCCACTGTCCTCTTGTAGAGATATAGGCTCGTAATCCTGCCGGGAGTCAATCTTTGGTGTTCAGTGGCTAGTTGCATGGCGATCCTGAAAATGAAATGTTCCAACCGACTCAGTCGCCCAAAGTGGCTTAGTCGTTACCATCTAACTCGAAAACGAGTCATCGTTTTACTCTTATTTTTCAGGGTAGATAACACTCTAAAGATTTAAAAGGTGCACTGACTTGAGGCCGGTACTTTTTCAAAGGTGACCCAAGAAGATTCATATTTCTACGAATTAGTGTCATTTTTTTACCCGGGACTCTTGGTTCATTATCTCGACTGGAAATTTGTGAACCAAAGTTTCGGCTGTCAACTTAAATCTCCCTTTTGGATTTCGCCTTAATTGCTCAAGTTGTTAGACTTCTCTTGTTTAAGATGTTATTTTCCACTTAAATGTTTACCTACGATTCAGGTATGCTCCAGTTCTTTACTTATACAATACTAAGTTTTTATTTTGTAGTGGAAAGTCTCAGTAAAAAATTGTGATGGAAAGTAAAGTGATCTGCACCCTGTTGCAATAAGATTCAGGATGCTTTCAAAAATTGTGCACTATCAACAATAAAGATTTGACTTTTACTTCCCGACCTTTTGTAATACTACTAATTCTTAGCTGAACTTTCTTTGCTTTTTCCTCGAGCGACTCAACTCTCGAGCCAGAAAATATAGCATGTTATTCGGCTGCAGATGGCGCGAGATTCACTTGCGTCAAATTCATCCTCTGCTGGCTAGCCACGTAGCGACCGACGTTAGTTTTCTGCTCAATTTCACCATTTACAGACAGCTTAGAATTATTTTCCATGTGAAATCTAGGTCATCGACTGACATACGTACTCAAAGCAAGAAAGATAAACTCTTGACTTGAAGCGAAAGCAAGAAAACTTGGCGGGATTTTTCAATGCTGCTAGCCGCATACGTCAAATTGCCTTTCTTTTGTACCCATCGAAAGCAGTCGGGGGGGTGGGGCAGGTGGGGAGAAATTTCTCCTAGCAACCATCCAAAGAAACATTGCTTAAATCTTGAGAATAATCGAAGAAGAAAAGCAGGAGGGCAGAAAAAAAGATAGCGAAATCCCTGCCTCTTTGAATATCAGGGATGAGGCCGTGTGATTGAAATATCAGCAAAACTAGAACTTGAAGGGAGGGGTAGCTCCGTCGGAAGGACGTAAAGGGCCTGGCGACGACAACAATTTCGCGCCAATTTCCCGGGCAAAGTTAACCTTGATGGTGCGCCATTTTGAATCTCTACGTAAACAAAGTGTCACAAAAGCGAAAACCCGAATGAAATAGCTAGAGCCATATGTCTGAGAGAACGAGACGGCGCAAAGCACCATGTAAGTATTAGAAAGTGAAAAATCCATTTTGATTATACACATAGATTTAAGCAGCTGTGTTTGTGATGTGATTTTCTTATTCGACTTCGTGGACTGAACAGCAAAAGTAAACAAGTGCTATGCAAGCTTTGTACGTAGATTCTTCTAGTAACAAAATAATGGGTAGTTGTAAATTTACCAAGCCGCAAAGCGAATAGCAAAGGATATTAGCAGTTTGAGTAGCCAACAGAGCACCCCTTAGTGCTGTCAGCTGTTTCAGTTTTTACTAAAATATCATACATCCCAATCAAAATTTCAGCCAGCACCAATGACCAGGACAAAACAAGAAATGCTTCACCAGTTAAAAAGCTGAAATTGGATTCAAATGGTAAAATACCAACTAATGCTTCACCCAGTCTTAAACCAGTAGCATGGGAAAGAGAGTCTGATAAGTCAACATGGACAAAGTTTTCTGCTAATCAGGTTGAGGTTATCAGTGAAGCCTTTAAAGCTGGAAAACCAGACGTGGATATCAAAGATGGCAAGTCTGAGATCACAGTTATATTTGAGAGGATGGTGCAGAGGAATAAGAAAACTGGATGGGAAAAAAGGATTAGATGCACTCTGGTGGACAGAAGTGTAGATCCAGATGAATGTAAGAGGATGATTTGTGCTTGCCTCTTCCTTTATAGGTTGTTACATGGAAAGAGAGTAGGGAGTTGGTGAAAGAAAGACAACTTTATTACCCTTGTTTTAAAACTAGGAGCTGTACATGAGAATGCCCAACCTTTTAAGTAGACCCACTTCAAAACCTGAACTTCTTTTATGAAGAATTTTACCTAAATCTGTTATATTGTCATTTGGCATATCCATTTTGATAAATATTCCTAATCCTGAAGTATATGTTATTCTGTCTTGGTTGATTATTGCCTCTTTTATTTTTAGTCCCATCCAAAAATTATTTGTTGTTCCCTCTATTTGGAAAGTCATTTTATTAAGTGTAGAAATGATTCAAACTGCTATTTTTATAGGTATTGTGCAAGTAAACTCCAAAAAGTGTGAAATGACTAGGGAATGTTATTATGGCCTCAGAAAGATCAGTTGCTGAGCATTATGAAGCAAAACAGACTCAGGATTGATTACAAAATATAATAGATGTTAATTTGAACTGAGAGAATTACGGAATTGAATGATGTTTGGATAACAAGGACAATGTGTTGCAAATTTACATCCCCTTTTTGTGGGGTTTGCAGGCATACTACCCCTAAAAAATTTAAATTTGAATCTCTCTGAGACATTTATAGCATTCTGGGACATGTTTGTGTAATTTTTTATGCCGAGCATTGATGTTAGAATCAGTTAAAAAATGCTTATTTTCTGTCTGTGATCATAATTCACAAAGTAGCCAGTGCAAAATGGTTTGAGGGGTTTCTGCTGCCTACTGCCCTCTAATGACCACCTGACAATGTCCTTGAACAATTTATTGAAAATTTTTCTAATGGTATGCTTGCTAATTGCTCTCATTGCAGATACTTGGGAATATGAGGATGCCAAAGGAAATTGGACAGAATACTCTAAGCCTATTGTTTACCTTTTTGAGGCAGCATACATGGTAGGGTTATCCAGCATCAAGTTCAAAGATGATAAAAGAGAACTTATTCTTGATTTAGCAAAGAAAGTTCAAACAACTAAAACTGGAAGGGGAGTGAAGAATGTACATCGAATCAACACCACTGATGCTAGTAAGTTAATATTGACAGTGTTCTTGTTAGGGGGCAATAATCAGTTATTTTATGGTGGTTGTGGAAATGAATGTTGCTGCTATTTTACTGAATTATTAACCAAAATACCTCTTTCAGTAGATGCAAATGATCATTTAGACCTCTCAAAAATATTACGTATAATAAAGACAAAGGTAATTTATCAACCAGTGGTGCAAACAGATCTCTGGTGTAAGGATGTTGATATCTGACAGTGAACAGAAAAGGATGCCAAGAGACAATTTTCAAGAGACCCTTTGAATTTACTAAAAACCAAGAACTATACTAATGGTGGCCACTCATCAGTATGTGTGACAGAAAAATTACATTTGTGTACTTGGGCAAAGTTTGCAAGAATCCTTCTTGATTTGAAATTGGATTAGGGGACTCAAGAAGCACTTCTGATGCTCTCTTCAAAACCTTATTGGGGAAATCAATCCTAGTTTACCATTATTTGATGATTGAATTATGAAAAAAGATTAAGATGAATCTTGTGGTTTAGATATTACAATTTTTCTCACCTTAGTCTCAAAGACCCAACCTAAAGCAGTGACAGCAGATAAGAGTGCTGCAAAGGCAAACAAGAAAGTGAAAAAAGAAGCTGAAGCTGAAAATGGTAAGTGTTCTGTAGATCAAACTTTTTCTTGTCACATAGAAAAGTTGGTATGTACCTCAATAAGAGCCACATGTATGAGTCAAAAATGTGATTACCATTGCTTCATTCGTTAGACCTCTTTCTTTAAAGGTGATGTGAAGTCATTTGTGTTCAGTGGAAAGGCTCCAGTGGACAGTTTCTGCACAATTAAAGACAGCACTCATGTGTTTACAGAAGGAAATGACATTTGGGATGTAATGCTGAACCAGGTAATTCTTCAATCCTTGTCACTTCTAAGATCCCATTATTAATTTTCCTCACTTGCTGCCACACATTTCTTAAAATTCAAAATTGATAATTTTATGTTAAATCAAACTATATTTCAACATTGATTGTTTCCTTTCCTATCATTTCCTCTTTGCTCTGCAATGTATAATAGTGTTATTATTAATTAATCTATAGGTGTACTGATGTCAATGAAATTATGTAGTCTTTGTTGCCATTTCACAAGTGTTATATATCCAAATGTTTCAATTCCTTGGCAGACAAATGTCATGAACAACAACAACAAGTACTATCTCATTCAATTGCTGGAGGATAACCAAGCAAAGAAGTATTATGTCTGGCAAAGATGGGGAAGAGGTAGTGATAGTAACATCTGATCTTTGAAAGTAATGCTATGATGATTTGTGGCTAAAAGGAAAAGAAAAAGTGTTTTTCTTTGTCTCATGCTCATAACAAGTTGAAAAAACTTCTTTCTCTATTTCTATAAAGAACTCAAATTTTAACATCCTTATTTTGGTTCCAATTTGTTTCCCCAGTAGAGTTTCACTTGAACCAGAAGCTGTGTTTTGTAATGTGTCCTGGGAGTCTGTCTTGTTACAGTCTGCCAGATTTATCACTCACAAAGATTGTGTGCATTTATCCAATCACCATCAGCATGTATGTTTTTTTTTTCAGTGGGATTCAATGGTCAAAACAACTTAGTTACCTGTGGGCCAGATCTTGAGGGGGCTAAAAGAGTGTTCACTAAAAAGTAAGGTCAACTTGTTGGCTTTAAAATAATAATTTAAGTGTTTCAAACTATCGATATGACCTGTGACCTAAAATCATGAAAAGATATTCAGAAGAAAAAGTTGATTTACCAGGAAAAAAAAATAATAATGGTGAGAAAGACAGCTTGTGCAATATTATGACATGTAATGGCTTTTTAGATGTTGTTGACCCTTTAAGTCCTAGAAGTGATGAACATGTTACTTCTTCCCATAATATGCACACATACAGAAAATCAGTGATGAGAATACTCAAACTTAATGGGTAAAAGTTGTTATCTTGATCTAATACCAAATTCTCATAACAAATTTATAAGAAAATGTGTTGCAGCCAGAGGGAATTTACAATCTGATCTTGGGCATTAAAGGGTTAATGAGAAAATCAACCTGATATCTCAGGGCCAATCAAGGAGATAGAAAAACATTTTTGTAAAAATACAGGGGACACAAACTTGATTTAAGGGAAATGTGTATCTGATTTTCAGATTCACAGACAAGACCAAAAATGATTGGGAGGACAGGCATAACTTTCAAAAAGTCCCAGGGAAGTATGATCTTCTGATCATGGATTACAATGCTGACAAGGAGGAAAAAGATCAAGTTGATGCACCTGTAAAAGAAGAAAAACCTACTTTAGAAAGCAAACTGGACAAGAGAATCCAGAACTTGGTAGAACTGATCTGCAATGTACAGGCAATGGAAGAAATGTTGAAGGAGATGAAATATGACACCAGAAAGGCACCTCTTGGTAACTATGGGATTTATATAGAAGATACTTAAGTAACAATAGGGTCTTGTTGTTTGATTCAGATTGTCATGTCTCCTGATGAAGATTACGATGATTTGCCCTCATGCTGTCAGTCTTCATCAGACAATGAGGTTGAGAAACCATGGGATACCATATGAAACATGATATTTCATTTCATTCAGTTAGTTTTCAGTAGCAGTAAATGGCACATTGTGATCATTGTTATTTTGGTGAGTTCTCCTCTTAGCAATTGGCTGGTCATATGCATCCTCTATGATTTTTCTTCTTGATCCTCAGTATCTACACCTCCAAAATTTCAATTCCACTGTATTTAGCTTAAGTCAAGTGGCCTACTATTTTGTTTTGTTATGTCATATCATTCTGCCATTGGAAAATCGAAAGCCATAGAACCAAAGTGTGGATCATCCCAAAGGTCAATCAAATGATTACCTTGTTGTGAGACCTAAGGAAATTGGCTTTATTTTGCCCAATCTTTTATGCATTTTCCATGCAATTTTTCTAGGAAAGCTTACCACAGATCAGATTAAAGCTGGTTATGAAGCCCTGAAGAGGATTGATACCTGCATAAGAAACAGTGACTTTGGCTCTAAACTGGTGAAAGCATGTGATGAGTTCTACACAAGAATTCCTCACTGTTTTGGGTAAGTGAGCAGTATTAAGTCAACACACCAGCCACCAGAAATAATTGTACTGTATCTGCTGAAAAGAATGCCACCACATTTTTACCTTGTATTAAGCACTTTCTGAAAATATGTTGAACCCAAATGAGCCCAGCACTTTGAGAAAAATATCTTGATTAGCAGTGCTAAGATTTTTTTTTTTATGAAGAGCTAATCATACAAAACCATCAAATTCCTTCCTCCTTCAGGATGAAAAGACCACCTCTCCTTAGAACAACAGAGGATGTCAAGATCCTATGTTGAACCCAAATGAGCCCAGCACTTTGAGAAAAATATCTTGATTAGCAGTGCTAAGATTTTTTTTTTATGAAGAGCTAATCATACAAAACCATCAAATTCCTTCCTCCTTCAGGATGAAAAGACCACCTCTCCTTAGAACAACAGAGGATGTCAAGATCAAACTGGATTTGTTAGAGGTATGTATGGTGTTCTGTTGGTCATAATGTGTTGATCAAGAAAGTGGATATAGACCAAATTCTTTGATAAGTCTACCCCCAGAGTTCTGTGCTGCACATCAACAACAATTCTTTACACATAACAGACTCAGCCAAAAAGGAGGGACTGCTTGTAGAAACGTTTGGCGGACTTTCAAAGCACAAAAAAATTGGGTTGAGAAAGAAAATTCTACAGATGTGGATGAGAGAAGGGAGGAACAGCAGGGTCTTTCCCCATCAGCTTTCCCACTTAATCACTCTCCTTTAACACTACATCAAACATAAGTCCATGATAAACAAGTTACAGGAATGGAAAAGATATGAGTTACAGGACTTCAGAGAGCAGGTTTTGTTCAAAAATGATTTTGCTGCAGTTTAACAATCACTTTGTGTTAACAAATCCAAGTGTTAGATCTGAAAGTTCAACAGGCTTTTCATAAGACAGTCCTACCTTGCCTGATCAGGTGACCAACCAGAATGTAGTATTTTCATTCATCTTTCTGACTGCAAAGTTGGTCATTATGATGAAAAATATTAACACATGATTTTTATGAATTCATCTATAAATTTTACAGTCCAGTGTAACACTGATAAAACTATCTAGCCAGACATGACAGTTTTGGAAATAATTTGCATGTGATACTTGACAATTTCTTTAACATTTTGTGTTGATTATCAAAACTTTGTACATTGAATTTACTTATGTTGATTATGTCTCTTTTAGGCCTTAGGAGACATTCAAATTGCTGTCAAGGCCTTGCAAGAAGAAGAGGAATCCCTTGAACATCCCCTTGACAAGCATTACAAAACACTACATTGTGCTTTGAAGCCCCTTGATCATGAGCATAATGATTTTAAGGTAGAAGATCTTTTAAATCGTGTTTTCATGCACTACCTTTGAGCTACAGAGAATCCAATGTCAAGTCAGCAAATGAAGTAGTGTCTTGTGGCATATTACTGTGACAAGCATCCCAAACACTGCATGTTCATGTCAGCAATGTCAGAAGTCTAGTGTGTGTTAACCCTTTGATCAGCATCTAATTTCTCTTTACAGTAATACTGCTGAATCATCTATTAAAATAATGAGAATACAGGAAATGACCGTTAACCTAAGAAGCTTTGAAGAGTGTGGAGAATGTGAATACTGATATTGGGGTGCAAAGGGTTAATACTTACGGAAATATTGAAAACATTTGAGTTTTTTTGTGGAATAAAGAAAGATTTTTTTTTGTTCGTAGTGGCAAACTTTAACAAGAAATTGGGAAAAACATGTTCAATCTTACATAGACTGCATCTCATTAAATATTCCCTGAGAAGTTGTTTTAAAAGTGGGAAACTGTCCTTTGTTTCTTACAGATGATTTCTAAATATCTAAAGAATACTCATGCTTCTACTCATAATCAGTACGACATGGAACTGCTGGATGTGTTTGCACTGGAGCATGAAAAGAAAGATTTCACTGATGTGGGTAACAGGTGAGTAGCTTGTTGGGGATAGTCGCTATGGGAGAAAAGAAAGTGTCCTCTAAATTTCTAGATAGGTCGTTTGAAAAGTGTTTATTGACCCTACTCTCCCCCTCCCCCAACTCTTACCCACCCTGCGAAAAAGAAATTCTAAAGCAAGACTACTCTTACAACAGCCTATTTGATAGTTACTAGATGATGAGTAGGCAACTTTTCTAATTCTGTCGTCATTTGTGCAGGATGCTTCTCTGGCATGGATCTCGTTTAACAAACTGGGTTGGCATTTTAAGTCAAGGATTGAGGATAGCTCCGCCAGAGGCTCCAGTGACAGGGTACATGGTAAGAACTCTTTACTTAGAAAAGCAGGTCGATTATTTAAATTTAAGGCTTACAGGAAGACCTTTTCGAAGAAATATCGTGAAAAGATAAGCTAATTGAAAGAAGTACGCTCCATATTTTTAAATCTGCCACGAAAATTTGACACTAACCGAGTTTTGAGATTAACTAAGGCTGTTCGTTACGTCACTTGACCTTCCTCGTTTTTCGCTCCACAACCACCATAGGGCCGCTGTTAACTTTGACGCTCCGCTTGCTTACTGGACGCATCAATAAGGCAAGCCAAACAACCGCTGCGCACGAAACTTCTAAGTTATCGGATTCACTTGTTTATTTATTTACTCATTTTTTTCATTCAGTTGTTCATCTTTCATTCATTGCAAGTTTCTGGCAGAACTCAAACATAGAGAACTTATTACATATACTAAGCCTTGGTTTCTTACGTTACATTCCATGCACCCATCATTTAATTTTTTTTTCTCGAATTATATCCTAGTTTGGTAAGGGTATCTATTTCGCCGACATGTCATCCAAAAGTGCAAATTACTGCTTTGCAACAAGATCGAAGAATGTTGGCATTCTTTTACTCAGTGAGGTTAGTAAAGAGTCACTTTCGTTAACTTTTCAGTGATGCTATTGTAGGTACTTGCTTTAAAATTTACCTAAAATTTACCTGACCCCTCCCAATTTTCTATAGCCCCCCCCCCCCCCCCCCCCCCCCCCCCCCCCCCCCCCCCCCCCCCCATTCTACTCTGTTGGCGACGACTGACCCCCCCCCCCCCCTCACTTCCCCTTAAAAACCATGTGATCCCACCCAGGCGTTAAATACTTGATTACTGGTCCCTCAGATTCAAATAGTTTCTTCGCAGTGTTTAGGCGGCTAAAAGCAAGAACTTCATTTTTTTACTTTTTGCTGTAATTTCATGCTTAACCGCTTCATCATCGCTCAGGTATCCCTGGGGAAGAGTAACGAACTCTTGGCTGCAGATTATACCGCTGACAAACTGCCATCTGACTGTCAAAGTGTGAAAGGTATGGGTCGGATAGGTCCCGATCCGAATGACACCTACACAATGTAAGTCGCCAAAGATTACAGTATTTCTTTAATGTAGTTCCTGAGAACACGGTAGGATAAAAGGGGGAAGGGAATGCACAAAGTCTAAAGAGAATATAGCTCATTCGATTTTTTCCAAATCATGACCAGGTGTGTTTGGTTTTTTGCGTATCTTTTCCTTGGCAGTTCTTCCCATTGGAAGCCGCAGTATTAAAAAAAAAACCCTGGTATCTAGAGTATGGAAAAGGAATTTGTGGAGGAAGTACTGCCAAGAAAATTTATTTGGTTGAAATGCGACCTAAGAATGAAGGTTGAACTCTCGTTAATTGCCTCACAGGTTAGAAAATTGCATAGCTCTCTCGGAAGCAAGTAACTTTTCACCATAATTTCTTGTTTTTATCCTACAGGCCAGACGGGGTCACTGTCCCTTTTGGTAAAACTACTGAGACTGGTGTTGTAAACCCACGTGGATACACGCTGAACTATAACGGTACCTGGACATTATGTTATCTTTACTTTTGTTCCGAAAACAATCGAAGTGATGGGACACGCCCGCTGAAACATTTTTAAGGTTCAAAGGGCGAGTATTCGAGTGTCGGCGTTGGGTTGGAGAGTTGCAATTTGAGAATATTTTTTGCAAAGTTTTGTTGCTGTTTTACTGTATTGGTGAAGTTTTGGCTTATCACTTCCCAAAGAGTTTCTTGCGAACAAAAATTTTTTATTAACCGTCTATCGTGATTTCAAAAAATCCAAGATAGTTTCCTTGGCTAGACTAAAAAAGGAGTTCTTGGAGTTATTCTGCGAATTGTTTGGTAAATTTTTAATTTCTTGTCGTGAGAAAAGATATGTCCTCTTTATAGTTAGCAAAGTATTGAGGTTATTTTTTCCTTCATTCACAGAGTACATTGTCTACAACACAAGTCAGGTATGAATTGCATTATCGATTGAAACAAATCAGTAACCGTGTAACTGCAGAGCTTGCCGCCATTAGATGTAGTATGTTTGCCAAAGGCGGGGGAAAAGCCGCGGATGCAAGGGTAACAATCTTATTGGAAGGCTGAACGGAGCAGGAGACATGAAAGATGTCGTGAACTTGTGCCTTTGTAAAGGTGTCCTAAGTAGCTGTTTTTAAAATGTCACACAACAACACCTTCTCTTGTGTGGGAGCGACCATGCGTGGCATAAATCCCGTAACCTCGTCCTTAGGGCGCTATTTCATTAAAATAAAAGTGTCCTGGTCGCCCCCTCCCCTCCCCTCCCTTCCCCTCCCCTCCCTTCCCCTCCCCACCCCTCCCAAATGAAAGATCGAGAAGGAGATGCCTAATGAGGTTAAACGCCAAATATTACAAAACGTGTTTGATCAATTTTGTGCTCATCTTTTATCCTTCCTCAGGTTCGCATGCGGTACTTAGTGAAAATAAAGTTTGATTTCAAGTAGATGCACAGGTTCCCAATGGAAGGATCCTATCGGTTATGGCTGTCAACGCAAATAGTGTTCAAGCCGAAAGTTGAAATATTTATATAGATATAACAAAATACAGTTTAGCTGATGATGAATTTGGCAATGGCTACCATTAGATGAGTGGTGCTCCTCCTGATGTAGATGGCCCCTCCTGTGTGTGCAATGTTACAAGTAATTGGTGGAAATTACGTAATTGAAAGAGACTCTGAACACTATTTGATTCTAAGTTCCCTAGTTTTCTCTTTTGGTGACGACGAACGGTTTTTTTACACCTCTTCTCTTTTCCTTTTTCCTTGTTTTTCCTTTTTCTCAAGTAACAGGTAGTTCTTCAAACCTGTTAGAAATTACGGAGAGAAAGTGGAAACGGAAATGAAGACTTTGTAGACTTGGAGGTCATTTCGCTGTTTTTCGAGTTAGAACCAAAACGAACTATTTGATTTCTTAAGAAACTGTTGCCGGTGTTTTGTTGGTGGGCAAGTGAAACAGCTAATGGGCTAATTACAGGTATTTAAAACGCTGCAGCGAATTTTTGAAAGCTGCTATTTCTACCTTAAATACTTCGACGAAAAATTCTCTTAAAATTGTTTGCCGCAACTCACCTACTTATGGCTGAAACCAACTAATTACAGATCTGTAAAAAAAACCGTATACGAGAGTTAAAAGAAGCTAACTTGTCAAAATGAAAGAATCAAATATCACTTCTAATATTTGTCTTTTTTATTATAAGATGTAGCTTCACGGCGAGAAGGGCCTTACAATTAGGTCTTGCAAAAACATTTGGATCAGTTAGGCTCTTCATCTTGCTCCCTTAACCAAGATCTTAAACTTATGAGCAATGTTCACCATTTAAGGAAGCTCTTGATCGCTAAACAAATTCTCCATGTCAGCACCTTAAGAAATGTATAAAGAGCAGAATGGAGAATGTATAATGATGTTAGTGCGTGAAGGGTTGATCGGCCTCTTAGTGATGACCGTAGAATCGGGAAGTACTGGGTTCGACTCCTATTGGGAACACTCGGAGTTCTATTTCTCGTAGCCTACGTTTAGCCGTACCCTCTCCCCCAAGGTGAAACGGAAGCTTCCGTCTCACCAACCCGCAGTGATTACTTGCCAAATTCAGAATTAAACAGTACCCGGTCTTTAGAATACTTTTCCTTGTGTATGGCGACGGGAATTTAAAGTGAGAAGGGAGCGAAATGCAGGATTGCTATTATAAACGGGAAACGGGAATCGGCGATTTTGAGAGGCGGGATTCGGGAAACATTCACTTAAACAAACCGAGAACCGGGATGTCCGTTGACGAGAATTTGTCTGAAGAAATTGATCTTCTCAGTCTATGAAAAGCACCAGGCGAACAGGCGGCAGCCGGGCTGTTTATGCGCGGGAATGTAAATTATATCAGAAGCGAAGCTGCCAATTTATCAAAAATCCTGAATGGCCCCAAGGGCAACGAGGCATCTAAGACTGCTGCCTCAGTTGAAATGCTTAACGGCCTTGAAAAACCTCCAGCAAGTCTCAGAATTATATCTATTTGACGCACTTAACCTCTTGAGTCGTACGACACTGGACGTGACGAATGTTCACGGTGTTAGATTACCCAAGAAAGTTTGGAAATGCAGCTAAAGAAGGCTTAAAGAGGAAAACCCATTGGTCGGCGTACTATTTAACGAATCCAAATTCTTGATATCCTGTACCCGAACGTGCCATGATCCTTTCGGCCATATCGACAATATAACCATTACCACCTGTACTGATGGACCACAGAGCATACAGTCACAGCAGGCGCTGCAACTCAATCAGACATTAACCTCTTGGCGTATTTTTCATTGTCTTCAGAGACAGAGGGATACCGATCGTACATGATCGTACAGAGTATACAGAAGATGAGGGACTGAGCCTAAACATTTGTCGCAGTGGTGCGTAAGCGTTCTGTCAAACAGGAAACAACGACGGCAAGAGCTGGAACTCCCCCTCGTACCTCTATCAGAGAGAAATTAAGCCGGGCGAACCGGTCAGCCTCGAACGTTCTGACTTCGAGGAGCAGCAAGAAAACAGCGGAAAATAAGACGAAGAGGAAGATGGAATATTAGAGTACGATTTCCCGAGTGATGATGGTGACATTCCATCTGTGGAACAAGAGGCTGATTTTCACCTCGGAAGAGGTTCCCGCTTAGTGAGAAGTTTTCGCTTCAACGGCAGAGTTGTGTTCAGCTGATTTTTCTTTATCTTCCTTGCTATGGAACTATGGGATTTCCATCACCTTTTGTGTTTTATGCACTTGTTGATATTGTTATTCGTTTCTTTGATACCGACCTGTCTGTACTAATACGTTTGTCCGTGATCGAAGTTTAACAGAAGGAAGCCGTTACCGTGACTAGCGTACGTTATTCGTGCAAAACTTTGAAAACTTCTAAATGAACGATATCATTATTTTGGTTAAAAGGGATAAACTTACGCCTTACAGCGACCAAAGACTTCAACGGATCAATGCTGGTTGAGAAAATCATCACCCAACGTAAAGGCCCTCCTAAGTTTAGGAAATGGACCAAGACAGAATTGTGTGATCGGGACGGGATTGAGAAAAAATTTTATTCGGGATCGCGGAATTGAAGAACCCTAATGGGGACCCTCTAGGCAGGTTGATGTACGCTTTAGCTAGGATAAAAAAAGGCTCCTGGTTAACCTCATCATTGTGTTTTCGCAAGTAAAACAAAAAATACATATTAGCGGGATAGAGCTATGATTTTTCGCAACTGCATGATGATAACTAAAATGGTAGATGAATTCTAATACACTTCCTAACGACCCTCTGCAAATGTATTGTCGACCTTTTGACACCAAGCACGTGTTACAATTCTCGAACAGGACTGGGTACAAGTTAGTCCGATAAGATGGCGGGTAATCTAGCATGCTGTCTTTGTCTAAGGTCGCCTTGTTTTAGTTAGGAAACCGGGAAACTGACACCTTATCATGGCGGATAAAAGGCCCAAGCGACAACGGACTGGAAGATCCTGTATGGTAAGTGGTCTAAAACGATGGTTTTTGGCTATACTTGAGGAAATCGCGATTTTGAGTTGGCGCAAAAGACGCTTGAAAACGTGCTCCAATCAAAACAATGAAATTATTTGAAAGGGACTCGGAAAATATCGTGCTAGTACACATGTTTACGTTTAATGTTACTCGCAAGTGTAGTTCAGACTTGTGATTTATTAGCGAGTTGCACTAAACTCAAATAAAGCCAATCTGGTGTAGAATTTAGAACAGAAAAGGCACAATCTAAGCTTAAAAGATTCAGTGAAAACCCTCTTTGGTTGATTTCGTTCTAATCAGAGAACGGATTAGATTCAAAGTAAATCATCTTTAAAGATTATGTTTAGGTACTAGTTACTCTGACGACATAGATCACTGAGCTCTTTTTGCTGCAAAATGTTTCTGAATTATCAGTGAATATGCGATGCGCTCCTCTTGCAAAAAAAGAAAAAAAAAAAAGATTAGCACCAACGCTGTTTAATTTAATCGGATAAAGCCGGCTAGTGTACTTGAGATCTACGCTTAGGATTTGCCTTTAAGATCAGTATAGAAAGGATCGGATTTGGCAGAAAAGTTGAAGTACTTTCAACCTCTTCAGGTCCCTGTGTATTTCATTGGTAAAACAGTCTTACAATTCCCGGTGACCCTGCTTTTCGAGACGCGCGGCCTTAGTTCTTCTGATTAAATGCCCATGGAAATTGCTCTTCACTTGAATTTTAAGCTCTGTTTCTTTTTCAAGCAGTTCTTTGATGCAAGTCTGCAACACAGAGAAGAAATCGAGTTAAGAAGGGCGCTTAATGAGTCTTTGAAAGAAGCACGAAGTGCACAACAGAAACACGAAGAGCCCGCACAACCGAGCGCAGAAACAAGATCGATATGCACTAATACTGAAACAAGGCTACGTTTGAAAAAACCCCGTGGTCCTAAACTGAAAAAGTGCAGCAAAACCCGCTCTTTAGAAATAAAACAGAATGAAGGTATAACGAAAGGGAGTGAACCTACCATCACAAATGAGGAGGTATTAGCGAAATCCAAAGACCAAAAAGGAGATTCAGCTAAATGGAGAAAGCTTCAGAACAAGGGATCCCTTAGTGAAAAACAACAGAGAAAAGAACTTCAAAGTCCAGAAAAATCAGACAAAGTTGTTAAGTCAAACAAATTGGTGAAGGCTGGTCAGAAGAGAGAGCTTAAGATTGTTTTAAATAAACAGAAGACAAATGGGAATTTATTCACTTGCAAGAAAGGGAATGATGGAAAGAAAAGAAACGTTGTTAAAAGCTTGACTGAGAAATTTAATACTGCCAGCAAAGATGAAAAACAACCATCCACAAAATGTGCAAAGCGAAAGCAAGAAAATAACGATCAAAATGACATTGAAACTTGCAATGATCAGGTTAAGAAGAGAAAAATCACACCTCCAAAGCTTGTACCTGAAGTTTTACTAAAAACAGAAAAAACTCTGTTTTCAGTAGAAGAGAGGTACACCTCTGATATATCTGCCCTTAAACAAGAAGTATCTGATGTGCTGCAGGGAAAACTTAGAAAAAAGCATAAACAAAGGCTTAAAGACAGAAAACTTGTGAGTCCACTGGGAGAAATCTACATCCCAGCTAATACAGCCAAGACAGAAGATTTCCTGACTTTCTTATGTTTGAGGGGTAAGTAGGTGATTTAAAGTGATCAATCAGATCTTAGAATTACTTGATAATTTGGTTTTATCAACTAAGGTGATTATGTAAATATGACACTGGGGAGGCTTTCTAAAGCTGACACTTTGGTCACAGGCCCTCCTTCCTTCACTCTTACGATGGGCTAATGCTGAAAATGTCAGCTTAAGAAACTCTCTGCAGTGACCAATTTACATTATCAACTCAGTTTATAAAACCAAATCATCCTGTAATACAACCCACCCCCACAGCACCACAGTTTCTTCAGAAATTGACCCTCTTTCGATCTTGGATTAAATCCCCAAATCAAAACCTATAACCTACGCATTTGGTTGGACTGCAAGTTCCAGAAAAAATTATCCTCAGCAATTTGTCTTATGTCAGTCTCGAGTCAGAAAAAGACACTGAAAATATGAGGTGTTTTTACTGTCCTAACTAAGAGATCATGGTGTAGTCATGATTTGATAACTCTGCAATTGAGTAAGTTCTACTTTGGAAAGGAAGAGGGTGAGTTGTGATAAATTCCTGGCATTACAACTGAAATTTTGACCATACATAAAACTTTATCAGTTGTTAATGAAAAGAAATGCAACAAAGAAAGAAAAGAACAGTTAAGGAAATGAAATGAAGCCAATCATGATCCAGAGTTTGACTTGATGACCATTAAAGGCCTCTAGATCTCCCATACAGGTCTTAGAAAACAAAGGATAAACATGAAAATAACAAAAATAATAATAATAGTAAGTGTTGCTTGTATTTAACATGTGTTGTTTGCAGGTAGTGCCAGTCTTCCAAGATCCTTTGAGGTCTTCAACAATCCTGATCCTTTCTTTACTCAGCCAACTCAGCAATTTCCAGACGAAGAAGGGTTTTCCAGTCCAATGCTCCACACACAGTCATCAGTGACCTACTCTCCACCTTTGTCAAGTTCTCCGAGTGAGTTCTCAGCAGACTCGCCTATGTCTTCTATAGATGGCTGGTTGTAACAGTACTACATTTTAACAGTAGCATTGACAAAGGCAATTCAATGCATTGAGTTAGCCTTGTAGTAAACCTCTATAACCCTTTGACCTCTAAGAACTATTGGCTTGTAATGTCTTCTTGTGATATCATGCCTGACTAACTCATTGTCACAAGAATAAAAAAAATGATCAACTAAAGAAGCCCTTGATTTACAAATTCTCCTTGTCAGCACTGTAGGAAATGTATAGTGAACAGTATGGAGAATGTTCATACTGATGCTAGGGTGTTAAGGGTTAACTGTTGTACATTTTCTTGTATCACATCACTTATTTATGAGAGTTTTTTCTCTGTCAAGTTGACACTTAGATGATAACCTTTTTTTTATTCTAATCTCATTGTGTAATTGCAATCAAATTGCTGTGACATACATGAAGGATTATCCTGAAAGCTAGCTTCTGGTTACTGTCTCCTAGTACTGTCTGTCAAGAGTTTTTTCAAACACTCTCTGTCCTTGAATCCTTCTACATATTTTGAATAATGAACTGAACTTGTACAGAGAAGTTACACTTCACTTCTTACAATGGAAAGATGAAGACTTCTTAGTAAGACAAAGAAAAGTTTGTCATCCTGGGGCAAATTGTTTGAGAGGGAGTATATCTCATGGGAAAGCTACAAAGCCTAGTAAGTTTACTCCAATGCAAGGTTAGGACAAATGTGTTCTGAACAACTTGGCTTAGATTGTGACTGTGGCAGAGTTTGCATTGTATCATGGGCAATATGCTTTTACAGCCAAATCAGCTTACAATTGTCTTTCTAGTTGTAACAACCCTTAAATAAGATATGAAAAGTATGTAAAATTGACAAGAATGTGAACCATGATAGGGGAATACAAATGAAGTCATATTTCTCCAATCATTATTGTGTTCAAAAAACATATATTTAATATTATGATGAAAATGTAGGATATTGTGTTCATTGGAATGTTTGCATGACTACGAGTTTAAATTTGGATATAGGGTTTTTAAAGATGACTTATGATTTTGATTATTCATAATTAGTATATACTAACAGTTGATAGTGTTGAAGGCACGCTCTTATTAGCCACTCGAACTCCAAATAATCTTTGGGGCTCACTTCCAGGCAATTTGCACTGGATCTGGGTCCAAGAATATTATAAGTGTTGCAGGAGTAAACAAGTTTAAATAATCTTTTTAGGCTATACTTCTCACTGTTTTAGTACATACTTACAGCTCCGTAAATATTCACCATTGGCCACCTCCACTTTAGTGAATAGTTGTTACTTGCCATTCTATAATCATGTTAGTTTAGCTTTAGAATTTAATAGACTACTACCCATTCATGCAATAGCAAGTGCATAAAAAGAATTGGATGTTTGACCCCTTGGGCTGTACAAAAGTTAGGATGAAATAACCAGAGGTATTTATTGCAAAGTGTTACTATTTTTGTTATTCACTAGTACATATTTTTATCATCATGTTGTACTAAAATTAATTTTTTATGCAGAGGACATCAATGTAAATAGTTTGCTTATGGCTACTGAATGAGTATTACTTTCTGGAACAACCTACAAAGTGACCCAATAAAAAGCTATTTTTAAATAAAAGCTAAAGATTTGTCTTTTCTTGCATCTTTCGTTGAATGTGAATTAAAAGTCAAGAAATTACAACAGTGTCATTGAAAAGTTTTCGAAGTTCTTTTTTCAGCTCTGGTATACCCTTTCCATACTTTGCTGATACAGGTATAACTGGAAGAGGGAAAGTGTTCTGTAGTTGTTGGATTTCTGTCTCTGAATTAGCAATGTCTACTTTGTTAGCCACAATGGCTGCTGGTCTCTGTGATAGTTGTTCCTTGTAAAGCTCCAATTCTCGCCGTAAGGAAGCAAAAGTTGTCAGTGAGTCTGTGCAAGAAATGTCCAAAACATACAGCAGACAGTGGCATCGTTCAATATGTCGTAGGAAAGCATGTCCTAACCCTTTGTTCAGATGTGCTCCACTTATTAAACCAGGAATATCTGCTACTACAGAATAGGAAGAGGAAAACATCAATTCAATAAAAACAAATGACAACAAAAAGACAATAGAGCAATAGATAAAAAAATAAAACAATGCTCTGAAAGGTTTCTTTCTACTGATTGCTAAAATAGCCATGGTTAATTGCACCAAACTTTTCTTGTGTTTTCTTCCATCCTGCATGGGTGATTACACCAGTTAAACCAACAGAAAATGTGGCTTACAGCTTACATGATATAGCATATAGCAGACAGTAAGCAGACTGTAAGCAGAAATTTTATCTAGATGTATCAGTTACAATGCAATCATTTAAATGTTACCTGCAATTTGCTGGTAATCTTCAAACTCTACAATTCCAACATAGGGATTAATGGTGGTGAAAGGATAAGCAGCAACTGCTGGCATTGCCCGAGAAATTGCTCTTAGAAGAGTGGATTTTCCTGCATTAGGGAAACCAACCTGTAACATAGGACAAACCAATTTGCCAAATGCTTCAACCACAAGGCTATAAGTTCTAAACATTGGTTGAATTCCAATAATACAAAGCAATACTGACCAATCCAATATCAGCTATTGTCTTCAACTCCAACTCTACAACTTTTTCCTCTCCAGGGGTCCCTTCAGTGGTAATATTGGGTGCACGATCCTCTGGTGTCTTGAAATATGCATTCCCCATTCCACCAAGGCCTCCTTGAGCAGCTACAAAGGTCTGTCCCATGGCAGTCAAGTCTGCTATTACATGACCTTGCTCTTTAATAACAGTGCCCAGGGGTACCTACAAAGGGACTTTTCTAATTAGGTTACTCACATAGAGGAACTAATCTTAATGCCAATGTTCACTCTTCTCTTCATAATATGACCATCTGTTAAGGAAAATCATGCCATGTTCTTAGGCATGACCCTTCATTTACACAGTGCTCCTGAGCAACTCGGGAAGATACCTACAAGTGGTCATCACATTATTAACCTGGAGCCAAATATTTTCCCCTCTAGCCCTCCAACTCAGTCAGATAAAACACAGTATTGCAAATGGTTAGGGAAATCTAACAAAATACCAGCCAAAGGAGTGAAACGTGTAAGCCAGAGGCTTCAATTTAAGCCAGAAACTGGCAGCCTACTGCTGCTTATAAAGCCCCATTAAAACACCTTTAACCACCCCAAGCACATCTGTTAAGAAATTCATTTTAAGGGGTGCATGAAATTAAGTCTAGGTGACTTCTGATAGACTACAAGATTCTCCTTCTAAACTGTCAGTGTGTTTCTTTGTGAAACACAAGGAGAATTTGAGTCTGTATCAAAAGTCACTTAGTGCTTCATTCTGTGCATGTGGTCATTTAAACCAGCCTTCAGACCCAGTGTGCATATATATTCTCTATACTGTCCATAATTATATATTTCTCATGGTACTGACCAGGAGAAGTTGTCTAACATGGTCATTTCCTTTATTCTCACGTCCATAATGTTTGGTTTTCATTAGGTTTGTGACCCGATAAGTTTGTAATTTACCTGCCACATCTGATCTGAGCCATTCTTTCCCTTACAGTCATCTGCCTTACCAGCTCCACCATTTTCAGCCTTGATATGTTTGGGAAGATGAGCAAACTCTTTAACAGAGTAATCTGCGATCAGAATGACACTCCCTCCTCTCCCACCATCTCCCCCATCTGGACCAGCTCTGGGTTGGTATCTAGATGTCAATGTTGGATATTGTGATATTATTAACTTATTGCATGATTGGGGAGAAAATACCATAACTAAATGTTACTGTATCTGATAAGCTTTTGATCTCACTTTTGTCTTTTAAAGTGAAGGCAACCATTTCCACCATTTCCTGCCTTCAGGATAACTTTTTTCCAGTCAATAAACTGCCTTTTCTGAAAAAAATTGAAATAAAAGGAACTGCCGTCAAAATTCAATGGTAGCAGCATACAAGTGCAAGGTCACAATCAATGGGTGATCTCATGCAATTAAATAGAGGGTTGCAATTCCCCTCCTTTTCATCGGAGGGGGTCCAGTCTTCAAATATGAGTGCATCTCTGGTATATTTGTTGTTACACAAGTAGACTTGTTAAGCAGAAATAGTTGTATTTGATTTATAGATCAAAAAAGGTTCTACGATTTAACTGAAAAAATATTACCTAACTTGTTCAGTCTATTGCCTTCGTCTCCAGTATGACTTTTGGGTTCATTCATGGCAAGCAAGGTGGTATCAAGCTTCTCAAGCTCTCTCCCATAAATCAGAGCAACAAAAAAACTGCTTAACCCTGTATACCCTAACATCAGTTTGCATATTCTCCATACTATTCTTTATACATTTCCTATGGTATTGACAAGGAGACTTTGTTTAACAATCATGAGCTCCTTTACTTGATGATCATTTTCTTTATTCCTGTGACCTGAATATGTGAATCAGAGGTGATCTTGTAAGGAGAAATTAGATTCTTGTCACTCTTAGTGGTTAAAGGGTGTAATGAATCACCATGAATTGACCTTAAAAATACACAGGAGACAAAGACAAATACAACTGAAGTGAGTTAAACTACCTTTTTTGGTTAAATCCCCTTCATTTTTGGGGGCATATGCAAACATTTTCTTAACCCTTTGGTTCCTAACATCAGTATGTATATTCTCCATACTGTTCTCTATACATTTCCTTCAGTACTGAGGACAAGGAAAATTTGTTTAACAAAGAGCTCCTTTTAAATGGGTGATCATTTCCTTGTAAATAAGCTACAAGAATTTGGTTTCAGATCAAGATAACAACTTCAACCTGATAAGTTTGAATATTCTCATGACCTGTTTGCTGAATAATGTTTAGATATTATAGGGAGAAGTTATGTTTTGATTACCTCTAGGAGTTAAAGGGGTTAAGAGGAGTTAAGAGAAATAAAAGTTTTCCTTTCTCCTTACCTGTCTGATGGAAAATGTGTTGATATGACTAAGAGAAGTTCCTGTTTATTCACTTCTGGGAGTTGAAGGGTTTTAGTTAACTCTTTACACCCTAACATCAGTTTACATATTCTCCATACTGTTCCCTATACATTCCCTAAGGTGCTGATGAGGAGAATTTGTTTTGTAATCAAGAGCTTCTGTAGTTGGTGATCATTTCCTTTATTCTCTTGACCTTAATGTTATATACAAGGGGTGATAGTGTAAGGAGAAATTGTTTGCTAGTCACTCTTGGGGGTTAAAGGGTTTTACAAACAAATCCTGTTGCGTCACTAATTAATACAGCCAAGATGCACCAGTGGTTTCATACTAATTGCAAAACAGTCATCACCATACTCTTAAACGGAACACATATGTAAATTAGAGTCAAACAGAAAAAGAGGCTAAGAGTAAAATATTCATAATCATAGTTAGCACTTATTTCAGTTGTTTGATTGTTGTTGTTTACACTAGATGAAGAACTTTGATTGTTTGATTAAGAATTGAATTGTCAGCACCCATTTCTATCAGAATAAATGATCAAACGATTCCTACTTTACCTTGCTTGCTTTGGAACTAAAACACCGCGAGATCACAAAACGCCATATAAAAACCATTTAAGAATGTGCCTTGCAAATAGGAAAACAAAGCTTGGTTGCTAATTCTTCAGGCGTGGCTACATAATATGAACCCGCTGACCTGTCAACACAACCTGCAATGGAAAAATCGATGTTTACAGTTCGAAGCGACTGCTGAAAATGGAGACACGGTACACGTGGTTTCTTTATTTTGTTTTCGATCAGACAGGCCTCTAACTTTACATTTAGCACCCAGTGGCTGGGAGAAGAATGGCGGCGGATCGCCCAAAGCGAAGGATCACACAACCCTGTTTGGTATGTAAAACGATTCTCTGATTGAAGGCGCCTTTGTTTCGAACTTCTGCTGTTAGCGACTGGTCGATCGCTACGTAAGGAAGCGCTTTTGGCGATTTCCTGTTACTGTTGCATTGTTCTGTCGATTCTCGCTTTTGTTCTGTTAGATCCCTAACTGAACAGCTGTGTGCGAGTGATCATTTCAACTCCGCAGTTGAAACTCTACTGCACTCAAGTTTATCTAATAGGTACTACAGCGAACGCATCACGTGAAATTAACCCGGAATAAAGAGATGTGAGCTGCCGAATCTTGCGTTGACTGGTTTTTCACAGACACCCCGAAAGAGGCAATTTCCTCATCTTTGTTTAATTTAGGTTATGGGGAGAAAGCACCATGTATTCAGTATGGGGTTTTGACTGCAGTCAAGTACTCTGTCTGAGTCTTGTATTGTGATAATTAAAAGTGCATGCCAGACAGAATCATAGCCACATCTATTGAAAAAAAATCGTATGAGAAAAATATTCAAAATGATGTTGATCACCGCTTCAAATTCAAGTCTTTTAAATAATTAAATATTCAAATGTTCCCCCTCAGTAAAACGGGATCTACATTAGCACTTTAGCGGGTTGAATATTGTCGACGGCTTTCGAATCTTAATACGCTATCGAAGGAGTTCAACAAGCAAATTTTAATGTTTTGAGTTAAGGCTGTGCATGAAACAACCTTAATATATTTGTTTTTAAGTATTATCACGTGTGTTGTTTTTAGAAAACGTAAAACTTCAGACATTATTTCAACGCCTGACATATCAGTCCATTGTAGTTTCATGCATGACTGCATCTCACAGTCCTTTAGTTCGAAAATGCGATCATTTTTATAACTTGACCCTCTGATTTCTTAATCTGAGACTTGATGGTAAAAACTTTCATCAAAGCTCAGAACTGGACGGTTTTTCTTTTCCATTTTTGATATTGGGTCAAACGTTGTTGTTTTGTTATTTGTTTTAACTGTTTTTTTTTTGTATTTATTATTTATTTGTCATATCTATTGATATTTATTTATACATTTAACTTTTTTTTCCTTTACATATTAATGACAGTTTTTTCAAACTACTGCAAAACTGATCTTTACATCTGCATTCCTGCCACTTGACTTAATTTTGCAGATTACTTTTTTAAAGTGCAACTTCTGCTCTGTCATGGTGCTTGTACAAAACTGTCCAATCAAATATCAGGAAAAGAGGATTGAATTTGAAAAAAAAAGTTTTTCTCACCCCTTTTTACTCCAGCCCTGAGTCTTGTAAGAATCACTTTTCATTTCCTAAAACGTGATTGGTGAACTTTATGTTAGTGGCTTTGTACAAGACAATCACACTGGACAATGTAGTTGCTCAACTTATTTATTAGCTCATTTAAGAATCACCATATGTGTTCCTCAGTCCATTCTATTTTTAAAAATTACTATAATTCATTTTGTTGGATCTCAGGAGGTGTATACACAGATGTAAAGTAACCCTTAAACTCCCAAAATCTGATTCTTAATTCTCCTCTCAAGCTGGTACTCATTTCCTTGTAAATTAGTTAAGAGAATTTGGAATTAGATCAAGATAGCAACTTCTCCTTAATTAGTTTGAACATTTTCATTACTTTTTTGCTGGATAATGTATGAATACTATGGGGAGAAGTTATATGTTAATCACTTCTTTGAATTACAGGGTCTGTGATAAGCAGAAGTTACACAATGATATGCCCCTGTGAGGTTAAAGCCAAGAGTCACACAGTGCTTTACTAGAAAAGTAGTATTTGAGTATCACAACAGATATGTGTTTTTTTCTCTACAGGAATACAATGGAGGACTTCTACCAAAAGAGGAAATAATGTTGCGGAAAGCCATGTATGCCTCTCTTACAGAATCTAAAAAACCTTCACCAAAAAAAATTGTTGTGCATCCCTCATCAACAGAGAATGATGGATGTTATGTTAATGGAGTGCTTGATAATGTGGAGTTAATCTCAGCGGGAGAAGAAATCAATGGCAAGCATTGTGCTATTCCTAATGAGGTTGACAACAATAATAGTCCTAATGTTCATCAATTTGAAGATGTACAAGCCATGGAGATCCACAGCCCCTCATCAAGTACAGCTACTACACAGAAAAAGACAAAAATTATCAAGGAACCTAGCAAACTGTTGAATTATGTGCTCAAGAAGAAGAAAGAGAAGAAGAATAAGGGCAGGAGTTTATTCAGAACTCCATCGCCTTTGAAACTTCAAGCTCATGGTGATAGTGGAAGTGTAGATTTTTCAGGTGGAGAAGCAAATGTCCTGAGAAACTCATCTTGTTTATCTCGAAATGGGAAAGTGAAAAAGAAAAAGCGGCAAAGAGGAGCTCTGGCTGTTTTTGTAGCCATGAATAAATCTGCTGGAGGAAAACTTAACAAAAGCCATAGTCTAAGCAAAGAACTGCTCATGAAGACAAAAAAGAAGAGAAGAAGAAGGCAGAAAAGCATGGAGACTCAAGCGTGTGGAGCTGGAGGAGCTGTTGGTCTTGCTGCTGAAAGTGAGGAGTTGCCCACAAAGAAATACAAGAAAGATGAGAAGAAAAAGTGAGTAATAAAAACCTGTGAACCCTTTAACTCCCATAAGTGACCAAGAGAGAATTTCTCCCTGGAATATTATCACAGTATCAATCAGAAAAGTAATGAGAAGAAAGAAAAACCTAAACTTGAGGATTGTTTGTTGATCCAATACCAAATTCTCCAAACTTACATCATAAATATTGTATGGCAGTCAGTTATGAGAATTACTAATGAGATTTTGGGAATGAAAGGGCTAAGGTCAGGGGGGAATTTTTAACTTCCTGTTTAAGTCATTAATTATGTATGGTGACAGGTGTTCTTTAAAACACAAAGAGGTTTTCTAAGTATTTCATTTCACCTAGCTCCTAGTTTTCATTTTCTAGTGCTAAGAATTTTTTTGGTAATTCCTCCCTTTACATAAAATGCATTTCCTTGAAATCCAGTCTTAACCCTTTAACCTTCCAAGATCTGATTGTTAATTCTCTTCTCTAGCCACTACAAATGTCCTTGTAAATAATTTACAAGAATTTGGTGTCAGATCAAGAAAACTGATTCAACCTGATAAGTTTGGATATTTTTATGACCTGTTTGCTGGATCATGTTTAGATATTATAGGGCAAAAATTCATATTAATCACCTATGGGAGTTAATGGTTAAGAGAAGTTGGTGTCAAAGAGAAATAAAAGTTTTCCTTTCTTTTTACCTGTCTGATGGAAAATGTGTTGATATGACTAAGAGAAAGTTGCTCATTATTCACTTCTGAGAGTTGAAGGGTTTTAGTTAACTCTCTACACCCTAACATCAGTTTGCATATTCTCCATACTGTTCCCTATACATTCCCGAAGGTGCTGATGAGGAGAATTTGTTTCATAATCAAGAGCTTCTGTTGTTGGTGATCATATTCTTTATTTTCATAACCTTTAAGTGTGATTTGGGGGTGATATTGTAAGGAAAAATTAGATGCCAGTCATTCTTAGGGGTTAGAGGGCTAGATGCAAGTGGTTTTCATCTGTTTTCATGTTCTCTGACTTACATTAATTTATAACTGTTGATTTTTCGCTGTTCTTGTGAGTTATGTATAACATAAACATGTTCAATTTAGGCAAGAAAAAAAAAGTGAACAGAAAATATGCCAACAACTACAACTTCATTCACGCACAGTAAAATTTGAAGTACAAATTATTTCATATTGTGTAAAGTAAAAAAAATGAGTCAAATCTTAGGTGACTTTTTAAACATTCAGGGTTTGAATTGAATTTTTGTAAGATCCTTAAGCTTTAATGAATTGATTGAACAAACTTTTGATTAGTATGCACACCAAAATAAGAAAACTGATCAGACAAATTGCCATCTTTTGCATTCTTTGAAGAGGTCTAATGTTATGATGGTAACTATTATCCTCAAGTAAAGAGTCATCCAATAAAAATGAAGAAATAATCACATGATAAAATGGGAAGAAAATTTTGAACTTCAACAAATTGCCTTGTTCTATAAAGGACACCTATGACTGTAGTTATTTTTTTAAACTTGAATGTGTATAATGCTGTATAATTTTGAAGATGTGCAATCATGAGATAGATTTTCAAGAGAAAAATAACAATTTTGATAGTTACATGTATTCTGCTGTCTCCTTATTTTACTTAAAATTGGAAACAATCATATTAGCATGTGTAGAGTTCTACATTGTGTCTATTTTCTTGATTTGAATTCAGTTTATTGATATGTATCTTTTGTGTTTTTATAGGCCACACAGAATGGTTCAAGCACAGAGGAAATTTGCCAAGAGGCATCCATTGAGTCCCAACAGGTACAAATTTTTTTTTTAATCCCAAAATTGGTTTTTAAAAAAACTTTTCAACCCTAACATCAGTATCCATATTCTCAATACTCTTCTCTATACATTTTCGTTGGTACTGACAAGGAGAATTCAATTAACAATCGAAGTGTCTTGGTTGATGATCATTTCCTTTATTCTCATGACTTTAATGAATGATTGAGCAGTATAACTGTAAGGAGAAATTAGATGCTGGTAACTCATTGGGTTTAAAGGGTTGAATTACAGAATGGTTATATTTTAAATATATTTATTTACTTATTTGATGTCTATTTGTTTAGTATGAGATATCAGGTGGACAACAACTTATTTACAGCTCCATGCACCAGGGCAAAGACTGAAGATTTCTTGACTTTTCTATGTTTAAGAAGTGAGTGGTGTAATCATTTAGTTAATATTTAACAATTATTCACTGAAGTGGAGGAGTTCAGTGGTGGATATTTACCTAGCTGAACAGCCGCATGGTAAATATCCACTGATACGGTCACTGACATTGAGGTGAATAAATGTTTTGAAAAGAAATGTGTTTGAATTGGGTATAAACTACAACAGTTAGATAATAATGCTCAAAAGATGATTTTAACTCATTTATTCCTTCAACGATTGCAATATTTTTGAGCGCAAACCCATATGAGTTGCTCGGAGGTGGATAGCAAAAGATTTTGGAGCTTGAGTAGCCAATCAGAGCACATCTTCAACCCAATCCACTGTTTTGGTATATACTTATAACTATTAACAACATGTTGATAATTACTATTTGTGTCACTGAAATGGTATTTGAAACCTTTCGTACATAACAGTAAAGACACAATCTTAATATTATACACATGCAAATTAAAGGAGACTGGACTCCTGTTTATTGTTGGTGAAATGTTCCGCTCCCTTCCCAGTGTTAAGTAACTTCTCAGGCAGTCAAATTTTCTGGGTATCAACACTGATAAGAAGGAAATGGCAAGTTTTGCGACATCTCTGGTAAGGACTGTGGGTAAAGTGCAAGCTCAGTTGTGTTCATCAAGCTGACCCAAAGTATACATCTTTACCCCTTTTTAACCCTGTAGCTCCCAGTATATGATTTTTAATTCTCCCCTCTAGCTGCTACGTGTTTCCTTGTAAATTAGTTTCGAGAATTTGGTGCTAGATCAAGATAACAACTTCTACCTGATAAATTTGAGTATTCTCATTACCTGTTTGCTGGATAGTGGATGGAAATTGTAGGGAGAAGTTACATGTGAATCACTTCTGGGAGTTGAAGGGTTAATTTGAATTTTCTGATGTTGTTGTCGAGGTTTTTTTTTTTGTTGTTGTTTTTTTTTTTCAGGTAACCCTGTCTTACCAAAAGAACTAGAGGTCTTCAATAACCCTTGTCTACCGATGTCACCATTATCAGAGGAGGAAGACGATATCTCCTCGCCACCCTCCCCTGTTCGATCACAATCGTCCATGTCGAACTCGTCAAGCGCTATTCAGATATCACATTCTGACTCACCTGTCCCCTCTGTGGATAGTCCAGCAACTGGTGAGGGACCCTCATGGGAGAGTGGAGTTGTTCGAATGTACGCAGATGGCCCCAAAGGGCTAGCTGCCAAAGGCAAGGAGGAGAAGAAATATGATGAACTCCTTCCAAGTGACGAGGCAGATGTGAGTGAATTGTTTTTCTTGATGTGTGAATATTGAGGCGACTGACTATGGCTGCATTTTAATTGTTATGTAAGTTCAACCTTAAGTCATCGTCCGCAAGTGGCACAGCCTCTTTTTTCCTCTTCATACACGACAGTCAATTGAGGAATTGGAACTTGTTCACATATCATTGCTTACAGATTCCATTATAACTCGTGTTTCGTTAATTACTGACTCTTAACTGATCAGACGTTTGAATTTTTGTTTTTATGCGATACCTTATAGGCTTTTCACAACAAGTCACTTGATAGATTTCACACTTTTCTACACTTTGTGGCTAGTTTCCAGGTCCTTGCTGTTCTAACGGCAGATACATGTAGGATCATTTAGGAATAGATACTTCATAGTACATTCGACTCCCGAAAACGCGAAAGATTCGAGTTAACGGTTGTTCATTTTATTAAGAATTGAGACAAACTGACTAGAAATGGGAACACGGTGGTGACAGTAGTTTTATTCATACAGCGTACATTTTGATCAAATGTTATTGCCCTATAGAGAAGTGGGGTGAAGATGACACATTTTAGTTGCGAGTAGGAGTTTCCATTGACCAAAGCCTTAGTAAAACTTAAAGTGTTGTGAGAGGTTCTACTGTTGTAGGATTCAGCTTTACTTCTATAGTTGTGTTTTAAGGTCGTTATCATACATATCATCTTTTACTACCTGTCCCAGGCGTTCATTCTGGAAATGGAGCTATAGGATAAACGGCGCAATGGTAGTAGCAGAGCGAAAACGGGGAAAGTTTAAGTCTGGTGGCGAAGAGATCGGCGCTCGTCACGCGAACCCGACCCAAATCCCCCTCTTTTTTTTTTTTTTTTTTCCACCTCTCCGCTTCAGTCTACTATCGCGCTTCGTGTTACTCTTCGTTTTACTCGCTGAACTCCTGAAAAAGGCTGCCGCTATAAATAAAACAAAGTTATGAGTTAAAATTAATCGCTTAAAAATAAGATGACAGTCTCGACTCGAAACTTTCGAGGATCGAGGATCGAGACGCTCAATGAACTTTCGGGGATTTCGATCCGCAGGGAACGATGTTATTCTAGCACGCAGAACAATAGCAAAAGATAAAGCGCCATTCGTATCCCTTACATCCCTGCTTCCTGTTACGTTAGCCTTTCCACTTTCGTGTTTCTAAGCTCTCGCAAAATAAATTTTATACGTCTCCCTAAACTCAACGAGCCGAAAAAACGTTCAAATTTTGCTTTTCTCCACATACGTATAAACCTTCTTTCAAATTGTTGATTAAGTGATTAAGTGTTTCCATTGTGAATCTGCGTGCTAAAGCTTCTATTCATATGAATTATGAATATTTACAATCGTTGCGCTGTAAAGCGGGCATAATATTTCTGTTCCAATTTTTTCACAGATATTTCTTGTGTCTTGATTTAGTTTTCCACCAATCTCTTCATAAATCGAACGGGGCTGGGTGCGAATGTATAGTTCCATCCAGGAAGTCAACCCGTAACTTTTGAAGGATATGAATGTTGGCTTCGCCTGCTACTCTGATTAAATGAAAGCAAACAAACCAAATGAATTCAAATAGAATTAAAAGGTGGATTCAACGGGTTCACCTTAACCACAAATAGCAATTCCCAAGGGAATTGATTTTTAGGACGCGGTAATTTGCAAGTGATAACTTCATTCTGCCCTCACATCCAATTAGAGGCTATTAACGGCAATTTTTTTGATCGATAACGTTTTGTTTAAATTCTCTTTCTAGAGCCCAAGAGACCTCACAAAATCAGTGACACCACCGCTTGCTTTCAGAGTGTCCTCTCGTCCGACGAATCTGTCATCAAATCGAGTGAAGGATAAGCAGCTTCCGCGACCGATTCCGAAACCTTTCGCTGTCAAGCCCAGTCTGACAGGCTCCTCACTCACAAGGACATCATCTTCTCATTTGGCGGGCGATGTTGGTTGTGGCTCCATTCCTCCGCCTCCCAGCTTTTTACAGTCGTCAGATTCGTCATCTTGTTCCCCTCCTCCGCCGCCATTACTGTACATCCCTGCGGCGGCTCAGAGAGTCACTCATCTTCACGGTCCTCCTACCCTTCAAAGATTCCCATCGACTTCTCCTACGCGAGATCAAGAAAGCACTTCGCCTTCAGAGGTAAGGCGCAGGCTGACAACCATTCAAGATGATGGACCACCGCCTTTAAAGAGGTATCCTCCTGTAGATGTGGAACGAGAGGACGTGAAGAGAAACAACGTCTCGAAGGAGCCATCTTTAAGAAAGGCTGGAACTTCAGAATTCCAGCCAATTTTATGGACATCAAACAATAGTGAAAAAAAGGACCATGCTACAGTTGAAACTGCTACATTTAAGGGATCGAACTCTTCTGTTTGTGACTTGACTAAACTTTCCGAGGTAGGAAAAAAGGTTGACACGAATGCAACTACCTGGAGGAGTAAGGAAATGCCACTGTTACGGAGACATTCTTCAGCAAGTGAGGTCGCAGATGTGCGCGTTGAAGATCACTTGCTTTTCTCCGGGGCATCACGTAGGATCAATTCCAGCAGTAGTCCTCCTCGCCTGCAGCGGGTTCCTATCTCGGTGGATACAGCGATTGAAATGCATCTTAATCGCGTTGTTTCCTCCGGAAATTTAACTGAACCTACCCGGAAGCATATAGAAGCTTCCAGAAGTCGTTATTCGCCAAACTTCCCGTCTCACCCTCCAAGACTGGTTAGACACTCACCAAGTCACCTTGGAAGGAACGCTAGTCCAGCATTTCTCCAAAATGACTCATTGAACATCGGCGTTGATCCCAGTCGGCGACAGTCTTCGCCGTTTTTTGATTTAGCTTCCTCTAAACCCGTAAGTGCGCAGCCTATTCAGGAAATACCTCTCGGTAGAACTATTCCTGTTGGGTCTCTAGTTTCCGCCAGACATTCTCCGTTGTTTACGTCTAGTCAGGCCAGGTACAAGAGTACTTACGTTTTCTCAAATCGGCAGACGTATGTGCAGCCAGTAAATGAGACGAGACCGTTACCAGTCAGCGCCTTGATGGTGCCCACTGCAAATGGTGTAAACGTCCCTGGAAATCATTCCGAAGTTAATGCAATGCGACTTCAATTAAATAGTGGTTTCAGCCGATTGAACGAGTGGCAGCTTTCCCACCCTGTGCAAAATCCGTGTCCAAGCCCTTCATCGTCCTCGTATATTCATCGTGGAACAAATCTCAGTGTCATGCCGGAAAATAGACAGCTTAGTAATTCTCCAGTAGGATTTAAGAGAATCCCATCTCCAAGATCTGACTTGTTCAGCGGCATTTCATCAGCACCAGTTGATATTTCATGTATGTCGCACGCTGGCCCTAAAATAGATTCTACGGTTTCAGGAGTTAAACCGTGGGCTTTCCAGCCTAGTTTAAGACAAAAAGAAAACTCTCTTGGAGGCTTGCCTCCTACATGGTCTCATTTACAGTCTCCCTATTCAATACCATCCGTTGTTTCCCGTAGTTCTCCTAAACCGTATACTTTTTCTGCAAATCTTTCACAAGCCTCGCGCCATTCTGGGTCGTATTCTGTTTTGCATTCAAACGCAGGGACGTTAGAAAGATATTCCGTAGGACCGTCTGGATCGAGTGATTGTCAGTACGTGTCAGTTATTCAGCGCGCGAATGCCAACAAAGGTGAACCATCACGGCGCGAGATTTGGACAGGCGAACAAGGAAATGTCAAAACATTTCAGTTGCCAAAGGCATTTCAAGGAGGCGATATGCGATATGATGCGAGCTCAAATGCTTTGTTAAACAACATTTCATCACCAGATGCATCCAAGAGGGCGCAATCATCCAAAGATCATCTTAAACAAGTACAATCTTCTGTAAAAGATTTCGATTCTGTCAACTTGAATCGGCAAACGCCAAGCGCATCAAGCAATCATGAGAAGGAGAGGCCGCCAACTTCGGACTCACCCAGGCTAAAGGCAAAGAAAGACAAAGTTGCGGGTTCAACAAAATGTGTCAATACAGGTTCCAAGGTGAACAGTCCATCAAAAGTTGTAAAGAAAACTTTAGGTTCCAAGCAAAAAGAGGCGTTGTGTTCTCTGCCAGTTAAACCAAATGATTCACCTGTTTTTTATCCAAGTGAAGAGGAATTCCGCAATCCTGTTGCATATATCAACGCGATACGCGGCCACGGAGAAAAGTTTGGTATCTGTGTGATTTGCCCTCCTGAATCTTGGAAGGTTTGTCTGATTTTATGTTTTTACAGTTAAATCAGTAGAAGTGGGAAAGATGTTACTCAAGCTTTGTCAAATTACAAAAACGTAATTGCCCTTATTTATATGAAATTCCACTCTGAAATGTATTTGGTATGCACAAAGCAACCTTTTTTCTTTCGTAGTTTTCAAGTAATAGCGTTCCAAACTTCATCTCTTGGGTCAAGAAACAGTGTTTTCTTCTGTCTAAATTGTATTTATTGTTGTGGTTATTATTTATCATTTTTCTTGCATTTAGCCCGAGTTTCAGGTGTCCGACAATTTGCGTTTTAATAGCGAGTGTCAGTTGATTCACAAACTCCAAGACAGGTGAGAAACTGGTGCAAGTAAGGCTGTTAGTTAAAACCTTCCCCCCCCCCCCCCCCCCCCCCCCCCCCAAAAAAAAAGAGACCAGGATATAAGTATCAATTCTCTCCTACTTCCTGGTTAAAATTTGCGCAAGCTGTTGAGACATAAAAATTTCATTGCCTAATCCATTTCACGATGACTACATCGTTAGAGTGTAAATTAAACACTTTTTTTCATTAAACTGCTTTTCGATTGATTAACCTATACCACACTTGCCACCGTCTCAGTTTGTGAGAGCGGAGCGAATCATCATTATTAAGACCAATAAGGAAGAACCCATCGTGAATGTATGTGAGCGAGCGCAGGAAACTACAATCAGCGTTAAAACTAGTTGACATAACATGTTTGAAGAGTCCTCTCTATGTGTAGAATAACACTCCTGTTTCTTCCCCTCTTTAAATCTCTCAAATCAAAACCCTGTCTTCCCCATCTAATGTTTCCTGTACGAAGCTTTAAGTTCATAAAATCACGGTACATTATTGTTTTTTGGGGAAAAGGCGAAAAAGGTCAACTTAACAAGAGCAAAAGAGATAACGTTGAAGCAATAGGAGGCTGAAAAGATCAAAGTGTCAACAATTTTGTCGCCGATTGTAGGTTTTCGTTTTTTTGCATTCGAGCGGTGGAGAGGACAGCGCTATTTCCTCTCTGTGACGCTCTTCCACGCTCAAAGGAAAAAAAATACCTTTGTAGACGTTGTTAAGCTTTCTTGGTGTTGAATTTTCCAGGTGGGGTCCTGTGGAAGAAGAATTGGCTTGCATCCGCAAGCATCTCGATCAGCAGTCAATTTCTCTTGCGCCCATGCCTCAGGTGAAGGATTTAGTAAATTAGCTCCTAAAATTAATACCACTGATTAAAAACCCTTATGTTTTTTTTGGGTAAACTATCACCGTCAAATGTAAATGTTACGAATATTTGTCTTGTCTCGCAGATTGGTGGATACGAACTCGATCTTCCTCAGTTTTCCAGAGTGATGAAACAATTTGGAGGACTGCAGAAGGTGACATGGTTGTTCTTGTGTGGATAGTTACAGGCGCTGCTTCTTAGAGCTCCTTTCAAACTCGCTAAACGAAGTAGGGACTTTCAGAATTAATCTACTTCGTAAAAGACATCGGTTGCCTGGGAGTTAGCGTACTTGAATCCAGACTGAGAGGACTAGATTCGCGTCCATGCTTGGTCATTGTTTTGTGTTTATGACTAAGACACTTAACTCTCGCCACAATGGCGCATTCCACCTTAGAGTGAAGCAATATTCATGGTAACGTCATGCTGGTGACACCTTGACAAGCTAAGGTAGTCATGGGCCCTGAGGCTCCTAGGACCAAAACGCGCAGGAACTGCTTTATTAAATATTTATTTTCCGCGTTACTGCCGATAGTTTGCGAGGAAAAGCAAATTTCCTTCGATGTAAAAGAGATGTAGACTGCAGCTCATAAAATGAAGGCAGAAAGGCAGATTTAGTATAATTGACGGGCGAAAACTAACGGCCATTGCCGCCGTCATAGACAGTGGGAATAAACCTTTTGATTCTTTAAATGCCTGTCATAATTTTCGCTTTTCTAACTGCGTCATTTTTTCCTAGAACTTGTTGACGAGAATTTGGTGTTGCATTGGGATAACACTTTCAAGTTGTTGAGTTTTTTAGTTTTCGTCGCTGGTCTATGCTTTGGAACTGTTAGGAGAAATTAAACGGCAATTGCTACTGAGTTAAACTTGAAGATTGTTTTGTTTGACTTTCCAGGTTATTGACAACAAAAAATGGACGAAAATTGCCGAAGTGATGAAAATTCCTCGGGGGGTAAGTTACTAATTTTTACCTGTGGAATATATTAGATTTGTAGCGGTTTCAATAATTTTTTGCCTTAAAACGGTTGCCTGTAGGCGGCGGTGCCATAAGGCGAAACCCAAACAAGAGAACCAATACGCAGGCTCGACAGACAGCGGTAAGAGGTCTTATAGGCGGCGTCCTGATAACCAGCTTCTATAAAAGCTCTGAATTTGTCGTCCATTTGAAGCAACGACTGATCAGAAATCTCCCAGAGAAGTACTTTTAAAATGGTTTCGATCATTTTTCAAAGTCACTTAGTAATTGGTCTCGCGGAAAAGTTCACGGGGATAGAGAAATCACAAAATCTCGTACATTTGACGGACTGCGTCAATGAATCAATTTCTTCGTTGTCGTCAAGAATTCTCTTTTTCTCTCTTCAGACGAAATCTCTTGCTTTGGACAGACCAGAAAAAACTGTACTTGAACAAAGATTTTCGAAAAAGCCAATGTGTTTGAATTTAGAGCTTTTAACCATGCAAGACGCGTGCTACCAACGTGTTTAAGGAAAACTTTTCGGAATTGATAACACTTCCTCTGGTTGTTTCATTTCAGGCTCAAGACCGAATAGGAAAACTACAGGATATTTATTGTAAATACTTGCTCTCGTACGATCTGCTTCCGCAGGTGAGCTTGTTTGTTTGTACTTGGCTTAACTCTGTACATCCTAACATTAGTATGATTTTCTCCGTACTTTTCGCTGTTCATTACTTATGGTACTGATCAGGAGAAGTTGTTATCCAGTCAAGGACTTTTTGAGCGGCTGATCATTCCCTTTATACTTGTAATCTTAACGTTTGATCCGGTAGTGATAATTTATAGAGAAATTAGATGCTAATCACTCAAAGGGGTGTAAGGATTGATGTATATAGTCTGAGTTTGTAATCTAAAATGCGTCACTTGCGAGTATTTATTTTCCAGTGTTTCTTTGTAAAACTGTTCGTTTTTCTTTCAGGAAGAAAAAGACAAATTGTTGCAACAGGTCAACTCGGAGAGGAAAAGTAACAACCCCTGTGGTACGTTCAAGGAGTGACACTGACTTACAAATTATTTCTTATTGAGAGTAAAGTTTCGCATACAGCCGTTGTACCACTACTCTCTATTTCCAGCATTGTGTTTCACTGTTTTACATTACGCCTCCAAGTTTAGTGTTGATTGTCAACACTAAAGATTGTTTTCTCCTATCTAGAAAAAGACGCGGATTCTTGGTCAATGAAGGTACGGGAGGCATTCTATATTTTACTTTTCACCTGTGTAGCTTTTTGTAAGTTTCCGTTGGACACTTTCACAAACTTGATGTGCACGGGAAGTATATACCGACGTTGATTCCCTGGACGAAATCCCTTGTGCAGTACAAACTAAGGCATCACCATAACTTCGAGTGGCATGCCCTTTCGACTCGTTCTCATAATTCAAACAAATTTGAATTCTTGGAATGAGCCGCGATGACAAAACGTTTCACTATAATAGAACTCTTCTCCGGAGAGCGATACCATGGGGTATTCTTAATGACAGTTGTTCCTGCGTGTTTGCCGACCTGAAGACAAAAGGCAACCCAGTAGACCAGCAGTATCCAACATCTGATTTCGTCTAGCTTGCGAGCTGACCCTCATTATTAAAACTGTTGGACACGCGTTTCTCAGCACCCGGAAAGATTTCAGACGACTCGGAGAGAGGTTTGCCGGTCGGTGTTAACCCTTTAACTTCCAAGATCTCATCAGTAATTCTCCTTACTGTCTTCCATACAGTTCTTGTGATGTTAGTTTGGAGAATTTGGGATAGGATCAGCCGACAATCCCCTAATTGATACTTTTCTTTATTCTCATCACTTGTCTGCTTGACACTGTATGGATATTGTAAGAAGAAATTCTGCCTTGGTAACTCATGGGAGTTAAAGTGTTAAACCCCTGACAGACCTCTCGCTGACTTGCACTGCTCTAGGGCTCATACTGTCTTGCAGTCGTAGTAAGGCTCGCGCTGAAGCGCTTAGATTTCTTCTTGCATCAGAATCCCACTTTTAATTACAAACAGCAAGTAATCTGAGCCAACTTATCAGTCAGACAGTAATATCTGATGCGTTACTATATCTTCAGAACCAATCTCAAAGGAAATATACTACGGCAAGTAGAGAGAACTTCTGTGATCAGGGCACTGATTTGTTATTATTTTATGTTAGGGTCGTAACTTGTCTCTGGTACCATTCCAAAGACTTGCACGCAACGTGCAAGAGCATTTCTTTAAGAAGCCACCTTTGGCTAACGACGTCGAGGTATGCGTGTGTGTGTTTGTCATTTTGTTGTTATTTTTTAATTACGATTATATGTTTTATTTGGTTTACGAATATTGGGGGGGGGGGGGGTATTGAAGAGTGTTGCGGAAGCCTGGAAGCCTGTAGTAAGAAATATTTGAGGAACGGCTGCAGGTACTTCAAGCCATCATCCATGAATATCATTTTTTTTTCATCGTTATTATTCTTGTTATTGTTTTTAGCGGGAATTCTGGAAGCTTGTTCATAATCGCGACAACTATATTTCTGTTCACCGTGGAAGTGTAGACACAAACCAGGAGAACAGCGGCTTTCCAACTGAAAAAGGAAATGTTTATTCAAAGTAAGTAATTAACACAACTAGAAAAAAAAAAAAAAGGAATGATAGATACATAAAAGCTTATAAGTAAGGTTAAAATATCTTCCAGATTAAGACAGATAGTTCCCTGCTTTGTCTAATCAAAGTAGCTGGCGCTTCGGAAACGAGCAGCCGGTGAAAGCGCCGGTCGCCGAAGCTTCCAGCGGACATTATTTATACCTTACTCTTTACTCCATGTCTAAACTAACTAATTTTCATAGGAATGGATGGAACTTGAACGTTCTTCCACATTTGCCCGGTTCAGTTTTGAAACACCTGGGATTTGTTCAAGGTGAGAGCAATTTTGAGACAGAATCTTGTTATTTAACAGCTATAAAATCAACTCTACCCCAGTTATATACGAGATTCTGCGGATTGCAGTTTGTTTGTAAGCTCTACATAACTTGCTTTAAGATCCCCCCCACCAACCGATCTCAAATGCTAGTATTAGGATTAAAAAGATGCCTTTTAAACAAGGCTTACAATGACCACACTGTCCGGTTTCAATTGCAATTTTAGATGTCACAGTGCCTTGGCTTCAGTTCGACATGATTTTCTCTGCGATTTCCTGGCAGACTCACCCTCTTGCTCTCTACACAGTGGATTACCTCCACAACGGAGGGGAGAAAATTTGGTAAGGGATTAACTCTTGCGGTTATACTAGGCATCTCGTCTGAACTTTTTAGTTTAGAGAGAACTTCAGACATTTTGCCATCTTTTGGTATCACACATCATATGACTCCCTCACACCCCCACCCCTCCCCATCTGTCCACCCTCACACCCCCACCCCTCCCCAGCTGTCCGCGTCACATCCCCCGTTCCTCCCCATCTGTCCACCCTCACACCCCACCCCTCCCTTTCTGTCTATCCTCACACCCCTACCCCTCCCCATCTGCCTGACGTATTTGTATCGCTCAACCGTTTTAAGCACGCATAGCGTCAGACATGGTTTTTAATAGGATGGTTATTACTGGATGTGTCTTAGGTATAGTGTTCCGGTTGGAGAAAAGAAAAATTTTCTATCTGTCTGTGGCCAAAGGCAAAGCGGAGCAACGGAAACAACAGAAGTAGACAAAATGGTGAGACTTTTTAATTGAAGACATTCAGTTTTTTGAAGACAATCAGATATGAACAGTCACATGGTGCCGAAAAGCATGCAATTAAAGCATGACGCGATTACCTACGAGAGACCAGACCAGGTGATATCAAACAAGGTGTTCGCAAAGAAAAGCATTCGTGGCGAAATGATTTTCTCGCGGTAGACAAGAGAAGGAAATGGAGAGAGACATACAGTTGTACCAAACTGTGCCGGTGGCTGTTCCTTCAATTTTTTTTTCTCCCGTTGCGAATTATTTGCATCACGTGTTTTTCAAAAAGAAGGACAGCTAATAAAGTTATGGTCAAGAAACTTATTGACAGCTCAAAACAAATTCAAGGCTAATGGTTTGTGAACATATATTACCGTTCTCTCTCATGCAACCCTGCAGGGATGACCCAACACTCGAAATGGCAGCTTTTCCATACTCGCTTGTCAATGAAATGTTTCACTCTGCTGCGGACGCAACACGTCAAGTTTCCTTTAGAACCACCCACCTTAAATTTTTTCAATCCTAAACATTGGGCATGAAATTTTTCCCCAATTTTGTTTTTCTGCAGGTTTCTCCCAGCAGTTTATCGGACAACGGAGTGACGGTAACAAGAGTTGTACAAAAAGAGGGACAGTTCGTGATCGTCTTTCCGGAAGTAAGATGTACTTTACTTTCTACCTTGAAACGTTTTCGTTGTGTCGGTAATTTGTAATAAAAGGCTACCCTAGATCTTATAGATCCGAAGTTAAGTAAACTTATTTCAGTTCAGATGAGCCAGGATGTTTCATTGCACTTATTGCAAAAAGGCGAAACAGGAAGACGACTAGACGACCGACTCCGAGAACACCTTCGTGATGTTTAGAGGAATGACAGACGTATACAAACCAGTTGCGAGACTCTTAAATTTTCCAAATCATTCTAAGCAACATATAGTAGTCTGCGCCTTTTCTTTACATCAAGACGATACGGAAAGCCGCAAAACTTTAGAACAGAGAAATGTGTTTTGAATCGGCACTCTTAATCACCACGGTATCAACGAACGCTTTTCTTAAGCTTGCTTATTTATTCTTGTTTTTCTCGTTACCATCTCCCCACCAATGGCGTAACTGCACCTTTCTGTATAGAAAACCACACACAGCCCACAATCCCACATTTTCTCTGACAAAGGGCTAACGCTCGAAACGTCAGCTTTAAAGACTCTTTACGGTGGCCAATGCACATTATCTACTCATTTAATAAAATCAAAATATTTTGATCTCTGTTGAGTTAATTTCCCGAAACAGAAAACATTTGCAATTGAAGGAATACAGCAAACATTCTTACCGAATTTTTTTTCATAGGTTTATTACAGTAGCATCAGTTGCGGGTATTCTATTTCTGAAGCAGTGACCTTTGCAACTCCTGACTGGGTTGTGCTTGGGTGTAAACGCTATAAGGTGAGATATTAGAAGAGTCATTGTTTTAACCGACGACGTCGTTGGTTTCTTGCTAAAGTACTGTTTAAAGGTGTAGTGACTTTGGCTTCCCTATTTCCCCTGTTACCTGATGTTTAAACTTATTTTCGTACATTTCAACGGAAGTAACAATGCGCACAGCATTTTGGCCAGCTGTGCAAAGATGGGTGATAGTTTCCGCTGAATCCAAAATTATTCGTCAGTTGACGGGAGCTGCATTCATTTCGCCAGGTCGACTGAAGTTCATCTCTTTCAGCATCTTTTCATTCATTTTTTGTTATTTCATTCATTTCTACTTTTTTTACCCCTCTTCAGGAATTGCAGGGCACCTCTTGGTGGAGCGAGTTTGCGTTGGAGAGGCTGTTGCTTGGCCTTGCTGAAGAGGTAAAAAAACACCGGTTATGTGACTTCAACCGGCTTTCTTTCACTCTAAAAAGCGTTATTGCACGAAGCCACGAAGGCCACTGATATCGGAGGAGGACAAACGAAAATTATGAAAATTGGTATCTTTTGAATTCAAAAATTTAACCAATTTTCTTTTTCAAGTCTAAAAGACAATGCGTAAAATGTAATAAACAAAAAACGCTTCATTAATAAACTGAAGAATTTGAAATTGTCACGAGAGAAATATTCTGACGTTGTGGTTTACAGCTGTCACTTCAAGAATCGTTATACTACTTCTTGTTTTGTTTAGTTTTTTTTTTGTTTTTCATTATTGTTTAGAGTTTTATATATATATATATCCTAATAATCTAAGTTTGAGTCTTTGGCCCTGAATCAAAGAAATTTCCCTGCTTTACAAGATTGCTTTATAAATTGTACGGAGAAATCACTTATCGATCACCTCTTAGAGTAAAAGAGTCAAGGTTTAGTTTGAGCAAACGAAATTTTTGAGCCCAATAAAAGTGGCCGCAGTGTATACCTACAGTTGCATAGTATTATGGGTGTGATATTCTTGTGGTAGGGTTCCGTTGCTGATGTTTAAGCTCTTACAATATCTTCATAATAAAGTGGATCATTGTTGAAAATTCTTCGCCTGAAAATGTGAGTGCGGTGGGTGGGTAACAGGCGGAGTGATGTTATGAATTGCATTGGGTAGTTTCGTTTCCTCTTAACAGCGAGCAAACAACAAACCTTGTAGACAAATAAGTTTATTTGGGGAGGGCCTGACAATAATCAACCCAAAACACTAATTTGTTATTTTTCCGTGGGAGAATTTGGGATTCGAAGTAGAAATCAAGAGCTCTTTCATCCAATCCTCATTCACTTGGTTTCCTAGCTTTTTGCAAAATTGCTCGGGAATTTTTTTACCTTATGAGGAATAAAAGCTGTCGTTTCATGGTCGATACACTAGTCGGATGTTGACTTTCCGATTTGTGTTGCAATGGCGACGAACATTGAATGATTTGTGACATAAGCCGCAGAAAATCAAAACAGTATAATGCCTCTTACTTTTCCTTTGCTTATCAGCTGAATGTGGAAAACCAGGAAATACTTCAGTGTTTACTGACGGAGCTCAAGTCTGCGAGGTAATGCTGTTCTTGTTTGCTTTTATTTATTACTATTATTATTATTATTTTAACTACTTTTATTATAGTCGTTTTTATTATCGTCATCATCACCGTTATTTTTATCATTAGTATTATCATAATTGCTTTTAATTCTGTGATTGATATTGCTCTTACTATTATTATTATTATTATTATTATTATTATTATTATTATTATTATTATTATTATTATTATTATTATTATTATAGAAAAGACTTTGGTGCTTTCTCGGTGGGAGTTAACACAAGATAATTTGGTTTTATAAGCTAAGTTGATAATGTAATCGCCACCGTAAAAGAGTTTCTAAAGCTTATGTTTCAAGCGCTAACTCGTCGTCAGCGTGATTTTCTTAGTTAGGCGCTGGAAGTAGGAATGTCTTTAGAAAGCTGATAAATAGTATATAAACTTTTGAAAGTGATGTTTTTTTGTGTTTCTTTTTTCCTCCAAAGGGATGAAGAGAAGTCCTTTATGGTTCAGCTTCTAGAACTCGGTTTGGTTGAAACGCATGTCGACAACGAAAAGAAATCTTCAGGGTCGCCTGGAGGTAAGAATGGGTGGATATTTTCAGGAATAAAAAAATATAAATCTTGAGGAGTTTGTTGATCGATTTCTCAGAGAGAATGTTAAACTATGTTGATTTTCGTGTTAAAGATACTTTCCTTAGGAGCTTTGCTATGGCTTGTGCAACTCGGAGAAAAGTGAACAAAATATTTCAAATGGTCATATAAATCCGTTTCAATCACGGTCCTATCCTTCCTTGGCCATATTTTTCTTGAATATCCTGTGTTTTTACGATACGAAAAATTGCCAATTCTGCATAAATTCAAATTAAGGTAGTTCTGCAACAGATGACTCAAGAATCCTTTAACGTTGCCTTTTAATTCGAGTAATGCAAGCAACGGAAGCGAACCCACGACCCTCTGCGCATCTGTCAGTTGTTGTGGAACTTGACCATAAGGAGACCCGTACCGAGATGGTCATTAGTGACAGATGTTTTTCTTAATGCTGGGAAAAGCCTTCTATGGTAAACCTCAGCATTCCATATTGCCAGTTTAGCTCTTCAATACGGTACCTGATCTTGGTACTTTTCACTAGCCTGACGAACGTCCTCATTGTCACTTTTCTGATGTTGTTTTAGGTAGGAAAGGAAAAAAGTCAACCACAAACTGGCCTCACGCTGATTCAGGCTGTGTTTTGTATTGCGAGGTCTGTGACCGTCCGTGCTACGTGTCAGCGGTGAGTGTCCACTTGCGTCTGCGTAAAGTACACAGATTTTTACCTAGGGGAAAGCTCGTCGACCTCTTTTGGATGACGCGGTGTAAGAGTGGTATCTTTGACTATAAACAGTAACTTTTGTACTCTCTAAATTCTGTCATCTCGATCTCCACAGGTAACAAGTGAACATGATCCTCAAGTACTCTGTCTAAAACACGCTGTGGAACATATCCGTCAGAAGGCTTCGCCTGAAGGCTTTAAAATTTTGACCAGATATGATACGGTAAGTAACGAGACGAAAAATTAACAGATTTAGGAAACACCACGCACTGTCCTAATGGTCACCATGTTGCACTGCGGGTTGTGGAGTCCAGGCTCGAGTCTTGGGTTAGGGTCGTTGTGGATGTGGTACAGATGTTTCTTGATGAAATCAGCAATGCAATGTAACGAGTGGTGGACGTCCCAGCGCGACAGTATAACGTGTTCTTTAAATTCTGATGTTATCGTGTCATGTATGTTCAATTCCTTTTCTTTTGAGACGTAACTCAAACAGGTTCTCTACTTACCCTATACAGATTTTGCGGCAGAATTACGTCGTTATTTTGCACTCTTTTTTTCAATTACTGACTGATGTGCTTTTTATTTTAGTCTCGACTGGAAGAACTTGTACGCAAGATTGAGGAAAAGCTGAAAAACGTGCAAACCTCACAAACTGCAAAGTAATATAAGTTGAACTTTGCAAGCGTCTCTTTAGAACTTCCTGAAACAAACAATGTAATTGTAAGGCATAAAAAAGTGCTGGGAATAGATATAAGGTCTGGGGTGGGGACAGTAGTGAGGCGATGGGAGCTGCTAGGGAAGGAAAAATGGAGGAAAATTCTTTAAATAAATACAACAGGTCCCCCCCTCTCCTCCCATTCTTCTGCCTTCTTCCGAGATACGGTACTTACTCTGTGTACTTCAGCACAGTCCTAACCGGGAAAGGACTAATCTTCTCTTGAGAACACCTAGTGTTTTTTTCTTGTTTCTCGTTACCCTTTTGTTGACAGACTTTCACACAAACATGCCTATTTTAATTTTTAGGTTTTGTACTTGTGTTTTGTTTTATTTGTTGTTTTTTTTTTAAATTCAAACCCTTTCAAAGTTTCTTTTGCTAATTTTTATGCATTAGTTGGCTTTTTGGGTCAGAATATACGGAGAGATGTTAACTTCTTTTACTGTGCATATGCACAATTGTGTGAGTGAAAATAAATAGCAAAAGCTAATTGTTGCTTTTAGAGGCAAGTGAATATATAGAAACAAAAATAATCTTTTATTAGGAACATATTTGAAATAATAAATACAATGCTCACAAAGATGTAATATGCTAAAGTTTATAAATAAATGATGAATTTAACGCAATTAAGATGACGTGTCTTTTCTGCAAGCAATTTTTCAGGGCTCCGATTAATAGCTGGGCTAGGTGTTTGAGCTCCCTGAATGGACTACCTTGAAAATTGCATGCGAGGAACAGCCCAGTGCGTCACTGATTTTTTTAGCACATTGTGGTGTCTATTACTGTACAGAACCACGATAACTTAGAATCTCTTTGTGTTACAGAAAAAAAAGCAACTTTCGTTTTCGGGTGTAAAGAAGATTACGTTAAGAGAGAAATAGTTTTAACCCCCTCAACTTCCAACAAGAAATAATTGAATTCATTGGTGGTAACATTCACCCTTATATAATCCTTTCCAAGATACGTTTGTGAGCAACACCAACCAAACGAATCCGCCACGAGCAGAACGCTGGGAATTTGCTCCGGACGTTACGTTCACCCCGAAATTCCGCATGCATCACAGGCGATCATGTAACTTCACGCTCGCGTTCCTCGTTCTAGGGTCATCTATAATGAAATGGAATAAAAGGCCCCCAATTCCAGCCTAGAGGTTTTCCGAGAGCCTTCGGATGAGGCGTTAATAGGATATCGCGGTACCCAAACCGTAAGTGTTATCAAATAGTCACTGGCATAACTGTTAAAACCACAAGCGGCCCAAGCTCCAGCTGTGAGATTATCATCCAGCGAAAAAGTGTTCAGAGCGAAATTATACGAGTTTGTATGAGAATATTTACGACCGTTCTAAGGAATAAAAAAATAAGTCAAATTCTCGATAAAAAATCTCACCTCACTTCCACAGTGGATCGCTTGTTATCTGACCGTTTACTACGTTGAAGGGAACCCATTTTAGCGAGTTATCCATTTCGAGGTTTTCTCCGTACATAAGAAAAGGGCAGGACTGTTTCTTCGCAAGATGATCATTCTCCTCACTCAAGAAGTGGGGAGAAAAACTCGACTACGTCTCGTGTTTCTCCCTACACTTCTTTCGTGATGTAGCCGCTTCCTGCGTGCTTTACAACAGATCAAAGCACAAGAAGGCTTCTCTATTTGTTAACTAGCTTGCGCGACAATATTTTCATAATATATTAAAGTTCACACAGCAACCAGGTGGACAATCAAACATAGTTTAATGCTACTCTGGCTTGCAGATTTAATAAATGTAATCTATGAATTGTAACTTCTTCGGTTACATTCATTAAATCTGCAAACCAGAGTAGCATCAAACTATGTCTGATTTTCATAATATTTGCAACAATAACTCACGTGATTCCTTGCAGAATTTGTAAACAATTACGATATTGTAAGCGGACAGGCTTACTCCCCTATCTTGGTAGCTATAAAAACGGGCTGCCCCAAAAAGAATGTAAACATGTAACCATCCCACGCTTCAATCACATGTCAAGGTTATTGTGATAATTATGATTATTCAAATGTTAGTTGTCACGACAACTTTGACACGCCGCCTAATCTTGAGTTTCCCAAAGTGCTCCTTGCTATTCACACATATACCGGAAGCTACTCAGTTATGACTTGGTTACTTCTTGTGGTGATTTCGGCAATTCTAGAATTGTCTGCAGTCTTCCTCAACGTTCGATTGCTCTTATTTTGCTTCAAAGACGAGAAAAGGTACAAGTTTCTTCAGAAGGGTAGAGTTTTAGTCATTTTACAGTTTGTTTGCCAAGTTATAATTCTTGTCGTGGACTCTATAGAATGGTGGAATGGATTCAATGTGCAACTCAGTGAGTCGTGTGATGTCCCTAGAGTCCTGTTACTTTCTTTGATGTTCTTCCAGCCTTGTAACTTAACAGCAGTCATGACGGTCTGTTGTTCCTGTGAAGATAACGCGACACAGAAAACCCAAGAGTTATCATCTAAACTGCGAATCGGCGCAGCTTTAATGCTAGGATTTATCGGTTCCTTCCTGATCTGGTGGAATGGTTGCGTTAATGACGGATATTCCTCTCAGTTTGCTCTCAAATTCATCTTCGTTGTGACCACCACATATGTCGTTTCACAATTTGGCGTGGCTTTAATCGAGGACAAAGGTCTTCATCAAGAAGAACCCCTTACAGACGCCACATCTGAAGAAAAAACGATCGCTTTGAACATGTGGACAAAAAGTAGACGGCCCCTATTCATGACAGCCTTAATGTTACTTTTCCTTATTATTATGCTGAGCGGAAAACCAAGTTCTGGTTCACTTTTATGCCGCCACGACTCAGACGAAGAAACGCTTTGCACGGAGCTTGTTTATTCATTCATAACCAAGTTTGCCGTCGGTATCTTTCTACCTATGACCCTGCACGATTTGATCGATCCTAACTACGAAGGGAACAAAGTAAAAACTTTAACACTAAATGTTATTTGATATAAAATCTAGGTGCTTTAAACTAAGAAGTAGCTCGTTGTAAGGAGAACAGTATTTTATTTATAAGTGAATTTTACGTTACAGAATTAAGACATAATTGTTGAGGTACTTTCTATAGGTAAGCTTCCACAGAGAACCTGTTAAAAAAAGAAAAATACAAAGATGTTAACGATGTATATACCGCCGCACATTAAATGGCACACAATAAATTCTACAAAGTGGAACAAAGAGCACAAACTGCATTGGGTGCTCGCAGCCATATTTGTTGGTACTCGGGCTACTTAGCCTCAAAGACACCTGTTCCTTTCTACCTACACTGATTTACGCTAAAGTGAGAGGAAAAAAGTTCAAGCGATATTCCAAGCATTTTAAGTGAGAAGAGGTTACTGATCGAAATTGATGTCAAATCAAGGGGACCGGCTTTAAATTCAAAACACAGACCCAAAGCGCGATTAAGAAAGGTTTCGACCCAATTTAAATTTCTATGGGAGAAGCGAACACCAAAGTTTTAACACGCTTTAAAAATTATGCGTGCACAGGATGTGTGCATTAAATTTTTATTACTTATACTGAAAACCGGTTGATAACTCTACACTTTGCAATTTCCACGTTGACGTAGATAATTTTTCAGACAATCGAAAACAACTCAGCAGAGACTGCATACAAACGGGGGTGCAAAGTACACATTTTCGGTCACGTGCTGTGTAGCGTGATTAATGTGGCCCCACGTCCACAGGTTCACTCAGTAATCCCTTCAGGGGTAGTGGCAAGCAAGGCATCAGCAAGATAATTTATTGAGATACTGATTGCTGTTAAAGAAATTAAAAAATAACAAACGAAAATTTTATGGAAGGAAATCCTTTGTTATGTTAACATAGGTTAAAATTCAATTGAGGGAACACGAGGTAGATAAAAGATTGATGAGCGATATACGTAGTATAAGACAATTCTCCCTCCCCCTCTGCTCCGCGCGCTTGTTTGTCATTTCGAAACAGACTTAGACGACCACAATTTTCAGTTGTCTGTTGCACATTGAAAAGTGAATTAACAATAAATTGTCGTCACAAAATGTTAACTACTAAATTGCTACGGATTTCAGCGTGGTCTTTCATTTATACCGACACGATGACATTCTAACGAACGCGCAGTTCAGAACCGTACATAGATTACGGAGATCTAACCAATTCGAGGATAATGCGCGTCACGACAGACATAAAATACAAAAATATAATTCTAAATACCTTTAGATCCATTCATGAATGCATATCCCTTTCTTGTCGTTTTTATTGTTTGCGTGAAGCGAGCAGCGATGCCGAAGCGTCTCAAGCGACGTAAGTGGTAGATAGAAATGTAAACTTTCGTTTATATTTTCATTATTTTAAACGTTTGTGCTTTAATGAATAATCAAATTATTTCACTTGAGAGGACACAGTATAACACATGATGAGCATCATTGTAAAATTCCCGAGAAAAACCATTAGTAGGTTAGCAACTTAACCTTATCGACGACTGTAGACCAAAGAACACAACGCACGGCGTGACGTAATTTCATATTCTACATTTGATTGGACAATAGTTTTCCCATGTTGCAGCCTGTGTCGAAGGCATTAATGTACATACCGCGCTGGTCTGTGTAAACACTCTATAGTATAGGGCTGTGCGGAAATTTTACCCAACCAAGAGGTGTAAGAAAACAAAGGATCCAAAAATAAGCACATAAGGACCTTCAAGTCATGTGTATTAATTTTATAGGTAAAAACAGGTCCTGGCTGGGAGCAACTCGAGAACACCCGGCCACCATTTACATTTCATTGAATAAGAATAGCGTCTATTGTGTTAGGCCTCGATCTTCAAAGCCTCCCAACACATGTAAGTGAAGTGGACCAAAGTGGCCGGGTATTCTGCAGTTTAGCCCATGGCTGGGAGAACAAATGCCAATAACAAACATTTAATTTACTATTGCACGAAATTCTCATGATTACGATCAAATCCTTTTATTGTATGATTGGAGTAACCCGAAGTTTGTCAGTTTTCACCAAAATGTGATGTAGTAATTAATATTTAACTCAATCTACATCTGCATAGTTGGATCAAAATTACCACAAAAAATGTATTATTCAACAGCAGTAGAAACAATATATCTAAACAAATTTTAGAATAGGTAACAACATGAATTCGAAGGCAAGTTTTTTTCAAAAAGCACGCGTAAAGTTTTCAAAGACAACATAATTGCACGAGCCCCTAAGGCTCTGAAGGGACTGCATTGCAAACACAATGTTAATGAGGTGACATCGATCACGCCACACAAGCACGTGCATAAATTAAAAAAATTATCATCTTTCTTATTCTTCTTGCATCATTTTATGTAAAATCAAACGTTATTTACTATCTATGAAGTTATTACACTGCATCTTGTTAAAGGTCATATCAATTTTGAGTAAGAAACCTCAGATCGAAACATCGGCACAAAATATGTCATTAAATAATCTCTGAAGTTTCTACAACATGAATGATTGTTTTATGCTCTCATGAATATTAAGAAAAAAAAAAGAACAGGAAAACCTAATTTCAACCCTTTTCACAAAAACTTGAAGCCTAATTCCTTGAGATTCATTTTCAAAACATTTTACTGACAGCCAACACTTTGATATCTTGGACTATTTTATATTTTCCATTCCCTACGTAATTGTAGTTTGAGGGGCTCAGTGATAAATGATCATGAAAGAAAATAACTTGAAATGGTGTGCCCTTTCGCCATTCCTGGATACTCCATAACAAGCAGCGCATATTTGAGTCCCAAAATGAACTGGGTTAAATATACCGCACTAACATCATCTTTATTCTACTTTTGGGAGAGGAGGAAATGTATCCAGTTTGAAATATTAACGTGCAAATAAAATATTTGTGGTCTCTAATGGGTTTTGTTTCGACTCAAAGTCCATAGACTCTCCATCAAATAGCAATCGAAGATGCACGTTTCTCTATGTTACTTTTACAGCTAGAATTAATTAAATCGTAGACTTTCATTGGTAGATTTTTGTAAACTTTGTCCTGTTTACTAGGGCTAGAACTCTGACGAACGAGACTCAATTAAACTGTTTTATTTCGCTCTCGTATTCGCTTATTTACATCAGGTGTGTAAAAAGCTACTCTGCAAAATTTGTAAGAAATCACTCTCTTATACGATATTTTCTACATTTTGATTGGTTGTTGCCGAGTACTGATTTAAAAGGGTCATTCAAGGTTGCGTTGATTATGTAAACCATTCAATGTCCATAGTGTTCGCACTCATCATCTGACATGTGTCACGCACGAATCAAAGTCTCCGACAGATAGATTCCGACGGCAAACTTGGTTATGAGCGATAAAATAACGTCCAAGCATAGCGCTTCATTATCTGAATCGTGGCGACATAAAAGTGGTTTATATTTAGATCGAGCACCGCTCAAGATCAATACCAAACACATTAACATCAAGGCTGTAGAAAGGAAAGGCCATTTGTTTTTCTTCCACATGTTCAGAACGCTTTCTATTTTTGAGGTGCTGTATGTGAGTTGTTCTCCTCCTTCGCCTCTGATAAGAACCATGGCTATTTCTGAAACGATAAAAGCGACAGTCACAAAGAAAGTTACTATGAGGGCCAACAGAGACCGATGTCCCTCATAAAAGCAGCTATGCCAACAAAACATGGCAGGCCCAAAAAATCCCAGCGTAAGCGTTGCAGACACCCGCAAATTAACAGATATTTCTTGGTTGGTTTGTGTCGCTGGATCATCCGGAGCACTCGAGACTATGATCATCGCTGTTAGGTTACAAGGTTGGAAAAACAATATAGAAACGAAGACAACTCTAAAAAAGTCACATGGCTCTTTGGGTTGAGCAGGGAATCCGTTCCACCAATGCATAACATCCATGAGAAGAAGTGTAACTTGGCAGGCAAATTGACAAATGACCAAGACTCTTCCTTTTTGTAGGAACTTGTACTTTGCTTTGTCTTTGACAGAAATTATGAAAAGTCGTGCGTTAAAGAAGACTGCAGAAAAATCGAGAAGGGCTGAAATCATTACGAGAAGTAACCAAGTCATAATCAGAAAGCTATGTTTGTTCCCTCCAGCTTGGATGTGGTTTTGAAGAAGGAGAGCGTTCCCGTGGGTGAGTTTGGATATTTTCTATTAGCCACGCCGGGCGGCGTTTTATGTAGTGTCGTAACACCAGGTCTAGATTGTTCGTATAATCATAATACAACGTCACGCCATGGTGATTGTGCACATGTTTATTGAAAATAATCGTTTCGTGCAAATCAGCCGACTTTGAGAGTTTGAAATTGAGGGAGATACTGGACTAAAATGCAATTAGATCGAAGGCTTCATCTACTCATTCCATTTTGCTTGCCTTATTATAGCATTACATTGCATCTCCATGCCATTAGATTATACCCCGTGCCGTTATATCGTACCTCCATGCCATTCGACGGCAACTATGTACTGTCAGATCGTTCTTCCATGTCATTGGATCGTACCTCCATGCCATTATGTCGTATCTTTAGGCCATATATTCGACCGTAACTCCATTGATTCCATTCGATCATTCCACTTCATCAGACCTCTACGTCATTTGATTCTACCTCATAGCATTTGATCCCCTCTAAATATAAGATTGCCAAAGGTTCTTCAATGTTGAGGGTGTTATTGTCAAATTAATAACAATCACAAATTCAGCATTTGTCGCGGTCGTTTCCATGACGTAATAATTGTCAAGAGAGAAATGATATGGCGATCAAAGATCCCGATTTCAAAGTAAACAGTTCGGACCTCCATTATACTCAGCACATTGCCTCTTTTTTTGTAAACTTTGTCCTGTTTACTAGGGATAGAATTCTAACGAACGAGACTCAATTAAACTGTTTTATTCCGCTCTCGTATTTGCTTATTTAAATCGGTTGTGTAAAAAGCTACTCTGCAAAATTTGTAAGAAATCACTCTCTTATACGATATTTTCTACATTGTGATTGGTTGTTGCCGAGTACTGATTTAAAAAGGTCATTCAAGGTTGCGTTGATTATGTAAACCATTCAATGTCCATAATGTTCGCACCCATCATCTGACATGTGTCACGCACGAATCAAAGTCTCCGACACACTCCCCCATGCAACATTGCGTGTAAGGGTGCATTCACCTAGGAGACTTAACGAATTCAACTAAACGACAAAGTTCTCTATAAATCAAACGTTTCAATTAAGTTCACAATTTTGAAGTTCAGTGAAAAGGAAATTGTGATTCATTGTTCATCTTCGGCAAGGTCCTGGATTCGGGCTCTGGCAGCAACTGCAACATCCCGTCTCGGCCTGAAAACTAGTGCGTTTGGGTTCAAATCTGCTGTGGGAGTGTCTGCATGTGTCTCAAAAGCCTGGTCGCAGTTTAGCTCAAGAGGGTACAGGTGTTGAACAGGCCTCTCTAACATGCCGTTTGCTGTCTTGAGTTGAACTGCGCGGATGATTCCGTCCTTCCCGGGATAGGTTTTGTTTACTATCGCCAGTGGCCAACTCCCACGATTCTTGTTTTCGGTCTTTATAATTACAACATCTCCAACATTTGGCTGAAATTTGGCCGCTTTGTGTGTCAGGTTGTGCCGCTCCCTTAAAGCTGTTAAATATTCTCTCTGCCACCACCTCCAGAGATTGTTCTTGCAGTTCCTGAGGTATTTAGCACGTTTGCGTAGGTCCAGGTCTTTGATCCTCCCTGTTTTCTCTTCTGGCAGCTGACTAGTTCGCTGAAACAGGAATGTTGACGGTGTAAGTGTTGGTAGCTCGACATCATCTTCTACATAACTTAATGGACGTCGATTGATTTGTGTTTCCACGTCGAGCAGTACCTCCCTCAGCTCAGTCCAGGTAAGTACACCTCCCCCAATGACTTTGTACATGGCGGACTTTACGACTCCAATCAACCGCTCGAATTGTCCTCCCCACCAAGGAGCCCGGCTTAAGTTAAATTTCCAGGTTATGTCGTAATCTTCAAGGAGACTTTGGAGGCGCTCATCTCCTCGCAATTGGCGAAGCCATTTCGCAGCCTTGATAAAGGTGCCTCCATTGTCTGAGTAGATAACGCGCGGTCTGCCGCGGCGAGCGATGAGACGTTTAAGACAGGTAATAAAATTGCTTGTCTCTAGACTAGACAATAATTCTAGGTGCACGGCTCTGGACAGGCTACACGTGAAGATAACCAAGTAAGCTTTCTCCTCGCCCTTCTTGCGTTGTTTGTACTTGATAGGACCAGCAAAATCCGTGCCAATAACTTCGAAGGCTGTTCCACCATCTGTGCGGTCTGTAGGCAGTGGTCTAGGGGGTGGTACTGTTAAGGGTGAAGCTATGAAACGTTTACAGCCCCAACAAGCAGATCGCACAGACTTCACTAGCTGTCTCAGGGTTGGGATCCAGTACTGTTCACGAATCGCTGCTATGGTAAGGGCCACACCTCCATGTAAGGTTTCGACATGAATCCCCTGTACAAGCTTCCTCGTAAACACGGCGTCTGCTGGCAGGTACACTGGGTATTTTCCTTGAATTCTTCCATGACATTCGAGAATTCTATCTGCATTGGAAACGAGGTAGAGTTTCTGCCTGGTCTGTTCAAAGTGCGGTTTCTGTAAATCTTGAGACTGGACTCTTTCTATCCACTAGTTCTTGGTCTCTTGAATGTCTTCGCTAGTAAGAGGTCCCTTGCGCACCCTGTGAGTGGTGAACCGTCGCACCCAAGCTTGGATGCGAAGAGCTCGGCGTAAATCATGGCGTTCTAGGAGTTCGTCGAACACGTTCCGTTCTTGTTCAGGTTTCTCATTTGCTAGGCTTAGCACTTCTCGGATGACTTTTGCCTCTTCTTCTGAGGTTTCGGATTTCACGGTAACCGGGTTCTCTGGCCACATTTCAGGATTACGTAGCCACGCTGGGCCATTCCACCAAAGCTCTGCGTTGGTTACCTGGCCTCCTCGACTCGCCAGGTCCGCTGGGTTATCGGTAGTGGGCACGTGTCTCCACTGGATCTGTGGGTATTGTCTTATTTTTTGCACGCAGTTAGAGACGAACTGTCGGTACTGACCATTTCCTACAATCCAGTGGAGGGTGACGGTGCTGTCCAGCCAACCGTAGATCATGGGTTCGGGTAGTTCTTTTAGAGCGTTTCTTACGTTGATGACTAAATTGGTAGCCATGTGAGCGCTGACTAACTCCAACCTGGGGACGGTTAGTTCTCTCTTGGCTAATCTTGCTTTTGCTGCAACCAGGGTTTGAGGGATTCCATCATCTTGGCGTACGACTGAATACACCACTGCTCCAACCCCATAAGTTGACGCATCCCCAAACACATGCAGCTCAGCAGAGATGACTGGTTGTTGATAAGGTGTTAAGGGTCTTCGAGTGGTTACTTCCGCCGGAAGTGACTGCTCCCACCTTTGCCAGCGTATTTTCAGATTCTCTGGGATAGGTGCGTCCCATGATACTTTGCAGTCGCACGCTTCTCGGTAGATTTGCTTCCCTTGCAGTGTAATGGGGGACGCTAAGCCAAGGGGGTCGTACGCTTTCGCTAGTTTGGCCAGTACTTCACGTTTTGTCGGTGCACTACTCGCGCTTGGGAACTGCACGGCGATAATATCTTCAAATTTGTCCCATTTTACGCCCAATAGCTTTGACTCACTTGGCTTGACTAGTAACTGTTGTTTTGCATAAGACTGATCTTCGCTTGATGTGGCTTGGGCGCTGTTTTTACGTAAAGTAGGCTGGGCAACTTCCTCTCCTTGTGCAGGTTGGGTGTCATCTTCCAGCTGTGCATGATTTGAGTGCCATTTGTGTAACTCAAATGTGGCGTCCTTCATAATTTTTTGCGTCACCTCCTTTCGTGCTTTTGCTTGCTGTACGTCTTGACCGCCTGTCAACAGGTCGTCTACGTAGAAACTTCGGCGTAGCCGCTCTACCTCCTCCGGGTATTTCTCCGCCCAGGTATCGAGATGGCATTCAAGAACCCCACTTAATAGAAAGGGTGAGGGGGCGAGCCCAAAGAGTACTCTCGTGAACCGGAATGTCTGCACTTCTGAGTCCGAATCTGTCTGCCAGTGAAAACGGAGGGCATCTCGTTCACTCTCGTGAATCCGGATTTGTAAGAAGGCTTTCTTAATGTCTCCCGCTAGGACAACTGGGTAGGCTCTCTTCTGAATTAGAACGTCCCATAGTTTGTTTTGCAGCGCAGGCCCTGGGTACAGACAGTCATTCAGTGATGGTGAATCGGGTGTCGCTCGGGCTGAGGCGTCATAGACGATCCGCATCTTTGTAGTTTCAGCGGACTTGCGAATCACGCTCTTGTGAGGGATGTAAAACTCTTTCTGTGGCTGTGAAACAGGGGGTGCCTTTTCGATAACGCCTTCTGCCAGCTGTTCTTGAATTATCGCGTCGTATTGAGCCGTCAGTCCCTCGCGTTGAAGTTTTCTACTGAGGTTCTTGAGTCGTTTTAAGCTACCTTCCTTGTTTGAGGGCAGTTCTGCGTGGTTAACTTTCCATGGGAGGGTGGTCTCGTACCAGCCTTCTGGCGAGCGCGTTAGGCGTTCCTTAAACTCATCAAATACCATCGACTGGTCATGATCTGCTATATCACGCAATCCCAAGACGTCCAATCTGCACAGATCTTCGTAGTTGCTTTGACTTGTCTGGGTGAGAAGCATGGTCAAACTCCTTTCTCGGGGACATCAGAAACCATCCGAATTTGGTGAGTTCTGCGATAGGGTCATTCTCTTGTCCAATTCTTGGCTTTGTTTTCCGTTTTAATTCTGGCGTACTCCCCACTGCCAAGCACCACGTGAACCGGAAGAGACGCTTTTGTGTCATCATCGTAAACATTTACGCCTTTCAAGTGTGGGTGCTTCTCAATTAGCGTGCGATAATTAGGGTTTTCAATAGACAACAACTCTGTCTTGTTCACTTTGGTAGCTTTGACTGACAGCGAAAATTGATGGTTGACAGATCTTAGTTCGAGATCGTAGACTTCGAGTCCGGCAATCTTAGAGGACATCAGCATATCGATCGTTTTGTCTGGACATCGGTTGGCTTTAAGCGAAGTAGTTCGATCAGCTTTGCCGACACGTACGAACTGCCAGCTCCAGAATCGATACGCGCTCTGCATTTAATTCCGTTGACCTCTATGATGACTACTGGGAACAGACCCTCTCCAGTTTGGTTTGTTGTCAAAGCGACCCCATGTGCTGGTGGCTGGTTAACTTGGCTTGTCGGGTTTGGTGTGTCACAAATCGACGTGTGGTGACGCTTATGGCAGCGTTGACAGGCTGATTTGCTCGGACAATAGAACGCGCGGTGGTTCCCAGACACACAATTGAAACATAAACGCTTATTTAGTAAAATTTGTCTGCGATCTGACAGGCCCTTAATCTTTGTGCATTCCACAGGTCTGTGATCTTCGCCGCAGTATACACAACCACGAGGTCCAGGGAGTTCTCGACGCGCATGATAAATTTTGGTTGGGCGTGTAAATCTTTTGGCTGATTGCTCTTGTTCGCGCTCAGTTCGTGTTGTTTCCGCCGGGTTCCGTCTCACCCACAGTCGAATTGCTTCGGAAAGACCAGCCAAATCCCAGCTCTCCCAATCTGGATCTGTTCGAACGAGGTCTCCGCGGATGGCTGGCAATTTGTCTAGCGTCATGGACACCGCCCCATTGACTTGCTCGAGTTTCTTAAGCGTCTGCAAGGCCTGCACGTAATATGTTAATTTCTCGCTGAATTCGCTGATTTTCTTTGGATTCGCGTTTGGTACTGAAGGAATGTCCAAAATTTCTCTAGTGTATGCCTTCACGATCTCAGACTCTTTACCGTACTTTTCTACTAATATGCTCTTTGCGCGATTGTATCCCTCTGACGTGAAGGGTAACGCCTCTATTGTTCGTTTTACTTTGAAGTCGAGCAGTTCTCGTAGGTATGAGAATTTCGTTATCGGCGCGACGCTTGTTTTGTCGATGGTCTCGCTAAACTTTCCCCAAAATCGTGGCCAGTCCATGAAGGTGCCGTCAAACTTGGCTTGGATGTCGCTTGACGTGTTAGTGTGAAGCGGGTGTTGGCTAGTCTGCGTAGCTTGGAGCTCCATTTGCAATTCCAGCTTGGTTTTATAAAGTTTTTCTTCGAATTGCAGTTTCTCTTCTTGAGCGAGCACTTCTGCTTCCCTTTTCCGATCATCCAGCCACTTACGTACTTCACAACTTCGTTGTCTGCTTCTTCAACCTTCGCGTCCAGGTGGGCGTTCCACGTTTGAATATCGGCGATCTCTTCTTCGGCCGCTAATTTTTTGGCTTCTACGTGGAGTCGCATCCGATCAATTTCTGCTGTGATGGCCTTAAGAGTCGCAAGCTGCCTCTCAATTGGTTCGGGTTTCCCTGCCTCTAAAACGGCGTTCGTCTCTGCCACTGTCATGTTGAGTTGCATAACTTTGATGTTCAAAGTTTCCACTGTCGCCTCCATATCGTCGAGAAAAATTCAGAAAGCAAATTATACTCACTCAATTTTGTCCTAACTGTTATCCTTCAGAATTGTCCCGTCGGAGGTGCCACGTTTTGTAAACTTTGTCCTGTTTACTAAGGATAGAATTCTAACGAACGAGACTCAATTAAACTGTTTTATTCCGCTCTCGTATTCGCTTATTTACATCGAGTGTGTAAAAAGCTACTCTGCAAAATTTGTAAGAAATCACTCTCTTATACGATATTTTCTACATTGTGATTGGTTGTCGCCGAGTACTGATTTAAAAAGGTCATTCAAGGTTGCCATGTCCATAATGTTCGCACTCATCATCTGACATGTGTCACGCACGAATCAAAGTCTCCGACACTTTAGCACGATTGAAATTTTCCCAGTTCAATTCAGAACGCTACAATACCAAGAAGGGAGGAATTGTCAGATCGAAGACGCGTTTCAAAATTTCCACTTCGCCGTTGCCCCTTACTTTGCTCGGTAGGGAAGGAAAGAGCCATTGAAGATCTATTGTTTTGTGCGATTTTGTAAGGGGTATATTTCCTAGCCTTTTTGTATCTGGCGCGACCACAAGCAGTCTCCGAGTAAAATGAAAAAGCATACAACAAAGAGAGAACAGCCGTAAAAATTGTGTTCAAACTAGAGAGTAAGACCATGTTGTGTTTCATTGTTCACTCAGGCGGAAAAGGAAATATATTAATGATCCGTTGATCGTGTAAGCTGATTAAAAGTCTGCAGAAAGTCCTAGGAAGATCCATTGTCGGTAGCTGATGGAGAAGATTTAACAACCTCATCTCACTTGTCTTAATATTGAGCTACCTTAAATTAGTTTTCTCGGTGTTGAACTCAGGAGGTCCATGATGGTTGCTATGTCAGCAACAGCAAACACCAGTTAAGTCACAGGCTCACCAAGTCAAGTCAGACTTTCGGTCTCTTTACGAACGGTGCTGCGAAGCTATTAAATTAAAGCTAGTTGTTTCTTGCAGTGGTTCTATCGATTGAGAGAAGAGTCGCTCTTTCTTCACGGTTGCAGTGTAACTATCCCTTAAACAAATCTGTAAAAACCTTGAGATCCTGCGGCAAATGATCTAAAATTTTTTCGACGACCGTGGCACTGTTTATAAATGCGAACAGAAACCGCGTGGACGTTTAAATCTAGCTTCGTAAGCGCGATGCTAATCGAACATCGTCCTCTTCTGAATCTATACCAAAAATAGCTCATAATCTTTTCTTATATCCTTAAAGCAAAATACGTACTTGAACTCAGACGCTGAATTGCAAATTTACCCGAAAAATGGAAAATTGATTCACTTCAATTTTTTTTGTTTATCTCGATAACCTTCACGCTAACACGTACCACTTTGCAAAAAATATTAACAAGTAACATTATTTTGCATAAATTAGAGTGACGTCACGGAACACGATTAGTGTTTGGTTTGCGCAGACGTTCTCTCGCCTCCATTTCACTTTAGGGGGGGGGGAGGGTACGGCTGCACGTAGGCTTAAAAAATGGGCTTAGTTTAAGGATACTCTTAAGTCTAAAGAAACAAAACACCTGCTTCATTTGACGCCTTGCTGAACGACACGAGGGAACTTGGACGAAACTAGCTCTACTCATTGCATTCTCAGGGTCCAAACCATATATCCTTCGAAGTTTTCTAGGAAATTGTTGACTTTTTCGTGATTGATATGTGTTCTAAACCTATGTTTTGTTTGATAACTGCTCAGAGACGCAAACATTCGCTCAAGGTTGCTAGAACCGCAAAAAGGTGCTCAAAAGTTGCCGGGCACTGTAATCGGGACGGGCCTATTGACAGTTATCGAATTTGGAATAAGGTCCGCAGCCCCAGCTAGACGATTAAATATCATGCTAGACGAGTATGTGTAAATGTTTAACCGCTTCTCTCCAACTTACATGAATAACGAATTCCAATGTATGATCTAAATCACACATTTTAATCCAAGATTTTTCTCCACAAGTAACTATGTGATCATTCAGCCACCCAATCAGCTTGATCCCCCCCACCATTTAGCTACTTTCAAGTGTTACTCACCTGTATATTTCAAATTGGTCGGTAACTTTTAAGCTGACGGATCCAATGTTGGAAAATTTATTCTAGTGGTTGTTTGGGTAAAGCAAGCGGTTAAGGAGGAGCAATGCATCCTTCACCCAGCACCTTTTATCAAATGTTGAACAAAGACCAGACTTATTTATGGGAAGGTATTCCTCTTTGTCAGTGTTTTGTTCGTTCACTCGCAGAACCACAGGCGGTAAGCTCACGTCTCGAGAAAAAGCAAACGTGTGACTCGGTGTTAAGTGACGAGAGGAACCGTTGAGAATTTGAACACGTTATAAGGAATAGTATCACTGTTATTCCTGTCATAAGACGAAGTCAAGGCTGCACACCCTGATTTCGACCGTTGACCACGCGGAGGTGGTTTGCGCCCTGAAAATCCTCCCGATCGGCATTTTTCTCAGCCACAGCTTACGATCTAAGATCACTGCTCTCTGGGACATGTCTCGATACCAAAACTCCCCGCGCATTTCGCTGAAAACGAGCGTTTTCTACCTGCATTTCCACGTTAGCTTCTCTCTGTCTGTGCTCATGATGACTAGACTGAAAACGGTCACAAACTACAAAGTAATACAAGTCGAACTTTGCAAGCATCTCTTTAGAACTTCCTGAAACAAAAAATGTAATTGTAAGGCATATAACAGTGCTGGGAATAGATATGAGGTCTGAGGTGGGGCCAGAAGTGAGGTGATGGGGGCTGCTAAGGGAGGAAAAATGGAGGAAAATTCTTTAAATAAATAAAACAGGCTTCCCCCTTCCATCCCCCCCGTCCCCCTCCTCTTTTTCTTGAAAACACTTGGTGTTTTTTTCTTGTTTCTCGTTACCCTTCTGTTGACAGACGTCCACAAAAATGTGCCAATTTCAACTTTTAGGTTTTGTACCTGTGTTTTGTTTTATTTGTTTTCTTTTTTAATTCGAATCCTTTCAAAGTTTATTTTGCTAATTTTTATGTACTAGTTGGCTTTTTGGGTCAGAATGTACGGAGAGATGTAAAAGTCTTTTACTGTGCATCTGCACGATTGTGTGATTGAAAATAAATAGCAAAAGCTAATTGTTACTTTTAGAGGAAAATGAATATATAGAAACAAAAATAATCTATTATTAAGAACATATTTGAAATAATAAATACAATGCTCACAAATATGCTAAATTTTATAAATAAATAATGAATTTAACGCAATTGAGATGACGTTTCTTTTCTGCAGGCATCTTTCTAGGGCTCCGATCAATAGCAGGGCTGGGTTCTTGAGCTCCCTGAATGGACTACCTTGAAAATTGCAAGATGTTTAATGTTTATTAGGTGTATTTTCTTAAAATAGACGTCTATATCTCTGTCTTTGGTCTGTCGTAAGCGTTGAGCTGTTGATTGTTTCAGTAGTTGGAGTATGTCGGAAAGTTTAAAGGTGCGTTTGACAAAATCGTCGGTTCTTGAAGGAGTTGAAAACTCAAGAGAAATTCTAAATCTATGTGCGTTCATATATCATTCTGTATTTATCTCCTGAGATACAATGTGAATTAGTCACCGTAAAGAGATTCAAAAGAGGACCAAAACCAAATTACCCTAATAATCACAACTGCCGTCTGTTGCTGGCCTGTCCTCTCTCTTAACGTAACATGGCTACCAAGTTCGTAGCACTTGTTATCGCTGTGGCGCTTCTTTTCATCGCCTCCTCAGTAGGCAATCCCCTAGAGGAAAAGTTTGGCGTCTCCTCGGAAAAACCTACGTCAGCTTATGTTTGCAGAACTGAACGTTCTGATGACTCGAGTAGCGGAGCATGCGCACTCGTTTTACCGCTGTGTCGGTAATTTTATGAACCTCGAAGAAACATTATACTTGCGTAATGCGAATGTTGAGAAAGGCTCACTAAGGGGTTTTACTAAACTAAGGATCATCAAACCGCAGAACCTTTGGGACCAGTGGAAGTTGCGGAACCATTAAATTTTTGTTAAAAAAAAAAAGGCGGCCCAAGCTAATTGCGCCATATAAGTAATAAATTATTATTATTAATTATTATTATTATTATAAGCTCTAGCTGTGAGATTATCATCTGGCGAAATAACAGTCATAGCGAAAATATAAGAGTTTGTATGAGAATATTTACGACCGCTCTAAGGAATAAAAATATAAGTCAAATTCTCAATAAAAATACCTCACCTTAATTCCACAGTGCATCGTTTGTTATGTGACCGCTTACTATATACGTTGAAGGAACCCATTTTAGTGAATTACCCATTTCGAGGTTTTCTACGTACATCAGGGCATGGCTGTTATTCCGCAAGATGGTCATTCTCCCCAGTCAAGAAGTGGGGAGAAACACTCGAATACATCTTGTGTTTCTCCCTACACTTCTTTCGTGCTTTAGCCGCTTCCTGCGTGCTTTGCAACAAAACAGACAACAAACAAGGCTTCTCTATTTATTAACTAACTTGCGCGACCGTATTGTAAGGCTTACTACCCTATCTAAGTAAATATAAAAATGGGCTGCCCCGAAGAGAATGTAAACATTGGAAACCATTCCACGCTTCAATCACAAGGCAAGGTTATTGTGATAATTATGATTATTCAACAGTCAGTTGTCACGACAACTTTGACGAGCCGCGTAGCCCTGAGTTTTCCCAAAGTGCTCCTTGTTATTCACACATGTACCGGTAGCTGCTCAATGATGACTTGGTTACTTCTCGTGGTGATTTCGGCAATTCTAGAATTGTCTGCAGTCTTCCTCAACGTTCGATTGCTCTTATTTTGCTTCAAAGACGAGAAAAAGTACAAGTTTCTTCAGAAGGGTAGAGTTTTAGTCATTTTACAGTTTGTTTGCCAAGTTACAATTCTTGTCGCGGACGCTATAGAATGGTGGAATGGATTCAATGTACAACTTAGTGAGTCGTGTAATGTCCCTAGAGTCCTGTCACTTTCTT